GCTTCGGCAAGGGGCGGCATAGAAATGTAATAATAATAATAATAATAATTTGTATGGTGAAAGCAGTGTCCATGATATTTTGGAGTACAAGAGCACAGGTCCTTCCTTGGGTCATTTACAATCTAAAATTCAACACTTAGGAAAGAATGCAGGATGGGACAGGAATAGAGAGGCAATATTTGGCAGTTGCCATTACATTTGATTCAGCTGAGTTACAGTAGAGGACAGGAACTGGGGATTTGCTTCAGATGGTTCACAGAAGATAGGTTTTGGGTATGATTTGTAAAGAACAAGTAGATCCATGCAATTATCGTGGGGGACTGTTAATAAAGATTCGGTATAATCAGGGAGAATGGATGGAGTTCTTTGAAGCTTTGGACAGTGGGGGATCAGTGACTTGGAGAAGCAAAGATCATGCATAGGGATGAATAGTGATCAGTGGAGGGATGCTGATTGGGGGGTGGCTGTGGAACATTTTGAACAGAGCTTGTGCTGTGCCCAGGGGCAGAAAGGAAATCACAAAGGGACTTAAATAGGGACATGGTATGATCAGAGCAAGAAGAGAGGAGGATTATTTTGTCTGCACAGTGTGCAGTGCAGTGTGCAGTGTGCAGACAAGGGGAAGCAAAGATAAGAATGAAAGGCAAAAAAAGGAGGTAATTGCACTAATCTAGGCAAGAGATGGCTAGAGTGTGGACCAGAATGTTTGTTCAGTGGTAAAGAAAGTGTTCTAAGGAGAAAAACAGCATGGACTAAAAGTTGCTGTTGACCAAAGATGGAGAACAAAAAAAGGAATCTCATAAACCAGGCTATATTTTCATTCAGTAGGATAGGTAATAACATTGTTAATTGATGAGGAAAGCATACATAGTGAAACATGAGTAGTTTATTTGGATATACTGGGTCAGTTTGCACAATCACAGAATAGAAATTGTTTCTTGTTTCTCCCATTGTGTGTTCTGGGAAGATTCGTATAATACCCTCACTCATGCTGTGTCATACAAAGTCAGAAATGAATGGCTTAATTGCTATGGTTAATAAGCCATCCCAGAACCCTAAAATAGCCTATGAGTTCTAGGTAGTTCATTAACCATGGCAGCTCCCTTCAGCTTTAAACAAAATAGCAAGCCATGCCAACATGGGCAATTGTGCAACTTTCACCTCCTTTGGCAGTGAAGAATCCAAGCAGAAATATCAAAGGGGTGTTGGAGATGTTAGATTAAAATGAGGGGAACATTTTAGGAATGGAAGACTTGAGTATACAAGTAGTGTCTAAAGCCAATGGGATTTGATATCACAAAGCAGAGACGGAGAAGAACAAGATCCCCAAGGGATCCTAATATTAAAAGAATGATTGCACAAGAGGAGAACCAATCAAGGGCAGTTTCATGAGGACTGATAGCATAAAGGGAAATAAGGAGAGAAGGGTGAACTGCATCAAAAGCAGTAGAAAGTTAAGGACTGAGTAAGAGGCCTTGCCATTTTTTAAAGATGACACTACCACTTATTTTATTTGTTCCAATAATTGAACCCCAGCAATTATAGCTCTGCAGAATCTCAAGGAACAAAATAGATTTTTTTAAATGAAGTTTAGTTTTAAAGAAATGTAGTACTGGTTTTTTCTTAAATAATTAGGCTAATATTCAATCTGAATATAAAATGTTTGTGATACAATTAATCTCTAAGCTGAACCATTTCCTGTACCATATATATTGTGTGAAGGAGGTTTTTCCTGTGTAAATGAAAAACCAATTTGATCAATTCCCAAATACATACAACCTACCAAATGTAGGCATATCATTTACACCTCTTGAAAATAAACTACTCTAGTCTGCCTAGTAACGTGCAGGCCTTATTTCTAACTGTCAGTCATGAGCATACAAAATGTATTCAGTGAAATAAAGAGATGCAAGTTCTGCTATGAATGAAACAGTGTAAACAGTTCTGTAGTTAAGTTAACATGGTTTTGTGGTCATATTTGCTCTATTGCTGGAGAAATATGAAAAAATAACAATAGAAAACTTGATTCAAAACTTGAGTCATTTGTTTTGCTAAATTAAATGGTTGCTTTAAATCTCCTTGATTTAAACAACCAGTTGGGGTTTTCAGCATCTTGTTGACAACTCTGTGTCCAACTCCATGCTCCCTCCCTGTACAGAACTGTTTTGTGTTCTACCACAACCATTAACTGGAAATGGGTTTGCAGGCTAAAGCTGACAGTTTTCACAGCTGCACAGGCATTTACACCTTTGAAAAGCTTAATAAGTAGGGTCAGTGTATGGGGTTTTTTTTAATTCTCTCAATATTAAATGTTTTTGAAGACAGTGAAATCTAACACTGAAAACATTTAATATAATATGCAAGGAACAGTCCTGGTAATGTAATTCCAGTGATCCTAGAATGTAGCAGAAGGTGCCCATATCTCTGTCATTAGGATCATAGGTGGAAACAATATGATCCAAACACTATAAAAATTACTGGTATGCAGATAGAAAAGGAAAGCCAGTGGAGAATCCTTTCTTTGTATAACCACTTCTATTCATTTTCTCCCATTCTAGTCTGAGACATCATAGGATGTTTTGAAGTCAGAGTTAGCAAGGTCCTCTAGGCATTTCCAAAACATGTTAAAAAGAAGCAGTAGCGGTATTGCCTCACCAGTAGTTAGCTGAATAGACAGCTCTTTATTAAAGAGTTATTTTGATGTCCAGTAGACACAAAAATGTTTTTTTCCGAATATGATGCAGCCTAAGATCCACAGATGTAACAGGTGAGCTCTTTAAAAAAGAAAAGGGTGGGTTCTAAATCAAATAAATAAATAAATAAATAGTACTCACTCTAAAATGGAAAATTTCATCTTTTAAAAATTTAATAACATCTTGGGTCAATACTTTATATTTCTGATCTGGTATTAATCACCTGGAATATACATTGCTAATACTCTCTTGCCTCCTGCAGTGATGTAAATTGCCTCATAATTGTCCACATTTCCAAATGATACTTCAATTGATCTTATTTATTTTTTTCCAAGTTGATTTCCATTTGGGGCTAAATTATTATCATCTGAAAGCAAGCTTTCTTTAACAATGTGGCAGTGAACAGGGAGGGGAGGGGAGATACTTTTCTCCAAAGGCTAGGCTGGTTTTCCATAGTAATAGGGATTTGTAAATTAACAGTAACAACAGCATTAGCAACATACATCCTTCTGCTAAGACTAATAAAATGTTGTATTCTTGAGATAATGCCCTGGTAGAGTTTGAGAAGGGGGCTGGATTCAATGGTCTTATAAGCCCTTTCTAACTCTACTATTTTATGATTTGATGATAAAGAGGCCTCCAGTGATGCCTGTTTCACTGAGGGTGTTTTCAGTAGAGTACAAGGCACAGAAACCAGATTGGAGAGGACTGAGAGCAAAATTAAAAGGGGGGAAATGGAGAGGACAAGAGTAAGTAGCATTTTCCAGGAATTCGGTGGTAAAGGGTAGAAATGAAATAATGCAGTCCATGGACTGGGAAGAAGTTGGGTCAATTGATCTTTTAAAAACAATTGGCAAAAAACAATCCTTTCTTTCCTCCACACAACCAACACCTCACTGCTTCTGACCTCTTCACTACTGCATTCAAACATATCACTATCTCCACTTAGTGGAGGGAAGAGATTGGAGCATAATTTAGATGATCAGACTTGGCAGTCATGAAATAAGAGTGGAGGTCTTGTTATGGATTAGTAACTTGTTAAAAAAAGAAAAAGAAAAGAGTAGGAATAAATGGTAAAATCTTTCAATGGAAGGGTGTAAACATTGCATTCCTGCAGGGATCTCTACTTGATCTCTAAAAAATATTTTTTTATTTTTTTCATAACAGATCTGGAATTAAGAGTAAACTGTGAAGTAGCCAGGTTTGCTGATGACACAAAAAACCGTATTTCCAAACTGAAAGAATAGGCATTAAAATGTCAAACATGGTACAGTATAAGCAAGTGTAACGTTATACATGTTGGGGCAGAAAATCCCCAACTTAAAATATAGGCTTGATGGAATGATAGTTAGCAGTTACAAATCAAGGAGAACTTAGGTTTGTAGTAGACGGCTCATTGAAAATGTGGCTGCTCTGAAAAAGGCGAACTCCATGTTGTTGTTATCACATTGCATAATTCCATCATTAAACAAAACTGTGATGTGGCCACACACAGAATACTGTGTACAGTTCTGATTGCTACATCTAAAAAACGATCTTGCAGAGTTGGAAAAAGTGCAAAAAGGGGAAAATAAAAAGAGGCTGGGAAAACTTCCCAGTGAAGAAAAGTTACAACAGTTTAGATTATTTAGCTTAGAAAAATGGTGAGTAAGAAAGGACATGATATATCTGTAAGAAATTATGCATGGTCTGGAGAGGGGGGATAGGGAGACCTTTTTCTTGCGTTCTCATAATTCTAGAACTTGGGGTCATTCCATGAAGCTGATTGCTGAGACAGATTTAGGACAGATAAAAGAAAGTACTTTTTCGCCAAATACATAGTTAAACTATTTATTTACATCCATTAGATGTAGTGATATCCACTTTAAAAGGAGATTGGGCAAATTCATGGTCAGGAAAGCTATCCATGGCTCCTAGTGTTGATGAGTGCATGCTGCCCTCCAGTATCAGAAAGGGTATGGAGTTGCTGGAGAACTTGGACTGTTACACTCATGGCCTGCTTTGGGATCCTGTAGGCAGCTTGCCCACTGTAGGAAGAGAATGCAGGACTAATGGTTCCTTGGTCTGATTCATCATGGCTCTTCTGTTTTTATGGCTAAGGTTTTGATAATAAAGGAGGTAAAACCTTGGGTGGAGACCAAGAAGGTGGAGTAACAAAGCAGGCTTCACAAACATCACAGAGTTAAAGACTCTGTGGATCAGACAGCTGAGTAGTTTAGCTTAACCAGGTAGATGGTAGATGAGGAGGATGAGGTTTTAATGTGAGCAGTACAGAATTGTGCTCTTATGGACTTGTTTTCTTTGCAGATTTTATTTCATTTTCATCTGAAGTGGAATGAAGGAACAGACTATGGGACTACACTCAAGATAACGATCCTGGAAAAGGTGTCTAATGGCTGTCTTCTCTTTGGGTGGTTTATATCTGAACTTTTGATGGTTTTCATATCTGAAGGATTAATTTTCCTTTCGGAAATATTTTTTGGGAGAAATTGTTCCTCCCTGGAAACAACTTCCTCCCTTTGAACGCTGAACATCATGGGAGATATGGCTAACAACTCAGTTGCATACAGTGGTGTAAAATACACTATAAAAGATTCTAATCATGGAGACTTTGGCATCACACTTGAAGAGCTTCGTGCTCTTATGGAATTGCGTGCTGCAGATGCATTGAATAAAATACAAGAATGCTATGGAGATGTGTATGGAATTTGTACAAGATTGAAAACTTCTCCAAATGAAGGTAAGGCTAATGGTTTATATGCTCCAAGTAAGGGAATGTGTGCCTACCTAGATATTGTAAGCTATTCGGAACCACATGGATGTATTCATAGTTTTCTTACCTAATAGTATAAGTCAATTGCCAATATTTTACTTACCAATTGATGAGCCGCTCAGGGTGCAACTGTAAATAAACTGTTAAGTGTAGGAAATGAAATATCTGTATTCTAGTTGAGGTTTCACTGGTCTCTAAAGTCAACTTTGACAAGCTGATATTCCTTAAATATAAATTCGCTCATTTTTGCTTAGTAATACAGATTATAGCTGTACTAGGATTGTAGTCAAGTTGGCTAAAGTTTGCTTCTATTATGCTAATATTAGAGGAAAGGTATGAAGTTACAAGCATTATGCAAACTTTTGTGTTCTGATAATAAACATAAAAACTGTATTTAAGTATTTATTTTACATGTATCCATTTGTATAGAACTTTAATGCCCTTTTTGAAAACTTGTTCCAAAAATTATGATCGGTAAATCTGTAAACATTTGTACAGTGTAACAAATTATGTTGTATTCAAAGATGTGATAGTATGAATGTCTGACAGTTTTAGGAAGAAATATAAATTGCATGATTTGTGTCTGCTCTAAGACTTCAGTGACTCTAGAGTCTAGAATGATACCTAGAGAATGTTGTTGTGAGTTTCAAATCTGTCTCCTTCAGCTTTACATCTCTGCTAGCTGTACAAAGTAAAAGAAGTGAGCATGATAGAGATGGAATGAATTTGGATGCCACTACAAAATTGATTTCCCTCCCCCTCCCACCTTTTAAGAGAACATATATGTGTGTGGTGTGTTTAAGGATAGTATCCTAGATTTTTTTCTCCTTTTGGAAAAATGTGGTTTGAATTTAATGCAATGACTTGTACATATATAAAGATTAAAATACATATACCATCATCCACCTGAAACAGAGAAAAGGTGCTTTTCAGTTGCCCCTTTTGTTTATTACCATTTGTCATTCCTGCTTAACTTATTCTCCAAATAATATAAAAGAATAAATGTGTCCAGTTCTTATCATAGCCATTTATGATAGGTGAGATTTGGGGTGACTTTGTAAATATTGGTCATTGAGAACAAGTTTTCAGTCAAGACCTTCATCGCTTGCACAAAATAGGTGACAACATCCAATACTATCACCTTAAGATTAGCTTGAGGGTTGAGCTCATTGCTCATAGTCTGGCTTGTTTCTCCTAAACCTGAATTGGTTTTATCAGTCCCCAAAACTTGTTTAAAAAGGCTTTTAGCCAGATGTAATCCTGATTTGGTGTATGGCAATTGAAATTTTATTTACTTAAAACGTATGTAGTGTTGTCACTGAATTTGATTTCAGGGTGGCACTGTTTATGTTGTTTTGTACTCAGGACTGCTGGAAAGAGTAACTGTCCCTTCCATGAGAACTTCTCTGTGTCTGTAATACTGGGTAGAAAAGGGAACATATTGCCATCTTAAAATACACAGGCACTGAGCTCTTTAGGCTAGTATTTGTTTTCAGAATCCACCAGCATCTACTAAATTTGTCATCTCAGTAGAAGGAATGTTGCTGTTATGGGATGGTCACTGGAAAGCAGAGAAGTGTTCCATGTTTCCCTGCTGATGCAAAGGACTTTAAATATGGCTTTCATACAGCAGGCAAAAGCTGGTGGCAGCTGCTCTTACAGCTTTTGTGTTTTTCTTGTCTCTCTTGAGTACTCCTTACAGTAGGATTATGACACACAGTATGTATACACACCCTCTTGCAATTAACTTGAGAGGGAGGTCTGATTAGATATTGTTGCTGATTAGTAGAAAACAACAGACAGATAGTTAGGACAAAGTATGTAAAGGAAAAATTGAGGCTTGTTCCAGTTGATACTGAAGTGATGAAATAGCAGAACACAAAATCTGGTTGGCTGTATTGTGATAAGTTATTGAGTTAAGAAACAGAAACAGATAAGAATAAGAAACAGATCACTCAAGGGCAAATAGGGTGTATCTAATCCTTCTCAGGGCTAGTGAAACTCAGTGATGCCATTCCTGCCATCCTTCAAATAAGGACATACTTAAAGCCAATCTGCATTTTACTGCACTTGGTGTTTCTGTGTGTAATGGAGAAAAGGGCCTTTAAAAGGTACCATTCATTCCTCACTCATGGTTGTCAGAACACAAGTGAGTGTCATGTACATTGCAACCCCCCCCCCCAAAAAACTAGTTCAGTATTGGAGAAACTCAAATGGTATGTTTAGCGCTCATGTTTATTGCCACACTATTTAAGTTTCTGACAAGATTATGAACAATTTAGAAAATTCTATGGGACTGGAAGTGCTCTTTTTTTAAAAAGCTAGGTTTTCAGAGGAAGCCAAATAAATGCTTCTAGATGTGATCATGTATTCATCTAATTGACGCATTGAGTTTGTCAAACTCAAGGTCACAGTGCGTCAATTAGATTAATTATATTGAGTAGCAGACATTATTGTTGTAGCAACTTTCGTATTAGAAATATATTCAGATTCATATGATTTCCTTATAGTACATAGCAGGTCCACAAATCAACTGTGAATAAAAAAAACACAATTATGTAAGATATGTCTGTTTTAGTAATTATCTAGTGAAAAATGCACTTTTGATAGATCATGTGTAAGTTTCTAAAATGGATTTTTCTTTCTAATATTCAGGCTTGAGTGGAAACCCAGCAGATATAGAGAGGAGAGCAACTGTATTTGGGAAGAACTTTATACCTCCTAAAAAGCCAAAAACATTTCTTCAATTAGTATGGGAAGCACTGCAGGATGTTACATTAATTATATTAGAAATTGCAGCCATAGTATCATTGGGCCTTTCTTTTTACCAACCTCCAGGAGGGAATGAAGCATGTAAGTAAGCAGTAAGTTTGTACCTTGATATCTGTGTCACAGTACATGTACAGGGATTATATTAGAAAGTCATTTTTATTCTTAGAATTGCAAGAGAATTGCAAGTTTGTACCTTGATATCTGTGTCACAGTACATGTACAGGGATTGTATTAGAAAGTCATTTTTATTCTTAGAATTGCAAGAGAATATGTGTAATAAGTATATTTTATCATTCTAGTAAGCATTTGAACAAAACATAAATCTTTCTCATATAATTGCTGATCCCTTTTCTTGCACATAAATCTAAAGAAAGCAAAGAAATGACTAAAGCTGCTTGACTCTCTATCCTCCATCTTAATTTTATTGATGCTTATTTTTATGTATATAATTTCTGTACTATCAAAAGTATCTTCAGTTACAAATGCTTACTATGAATTTGCACTGGCATTTTGAAGATGATGAGTATTTAGTTCCCTAAAGTATATGCCTTGCTCAGATGCTGTGCTCCTCAGTAGAGAGAATCCAGGAGGAGACCCGACTTCATGTGTGGCATTGCTTGCTGTTCTCAGTGTGAATCCCTAAATAGAGGTATTTCAGTGCAGATATCCTGGTCATGACATTGATTTATTTTCTGAGAAAGAAGCAGGGAAAGTGAAGGTAGAACAATGTTCAGTTCTTGCTAATACCTGTTTCTGACAGTGGAAAGCAAATAATGGGATAAAATAGTTCTGGTGTATGTAAACCTGCTTAATACTTTAACGTGATATTAAAGCTGACACTGTTATTTCAGTACTTGTCACAGTGAACATGAAATTTGATGACAAGATGCTTAACTTGAAGTACGCCATGGATACGCACTAAGAGCTCTGTTCAGAAACTTGAGTCTGCCCATTAGAACTGTGAAACACCAATTCTGAGCTGACATGCTTTTGGTTTGGTTCACATCTGTCCTATTGTCACTTAAAAGTAAACTTTTTCCTAAAATGAATGCCTACCTACACTTTTATTTTTTGTTGCATAGATGCTTCAGAGAAGCCAATAAAATAAACTATCTAGGTGACTAAAAGATATTTCTGCTTTTAAAGCATACTCTTTGTTTAGTATTTGTAGTTTTCCACCTGTCCTTACAGCCACAAAAATCTATAAAAAGTGGTCAAGAAACTGAGTAAAATGACTATGCAACATCAAAAATTTCAAATGGAAAGAATAATAAACTTAGTGGGCATATGCTATAACAAAAAGGGTTTGTATGTGTGTAATTAGTGGTGCAGGTCTATGTAAGGTTAGCACCTTTTTCTAAAAGAATACTTGTTTAATAGGCTTCTCTGGGATGTATTTAATAGTACTACTGAGTAGGTACTCTTCTCATCCATTTGTTTGATATCACAATAAATTGGGAAAAGGAATTCCAGGAAAGATTTCAGTGTGTGGGTAGGGTTCATATGGAAAAAATTGTTCCCTTACGTCAAGCATGGGCAGACGTCATGTTTGCAGGATTTATTTTGGTGTTTTTTTTTTTTTTAGTAAAACTTTGAGAAATGCCAACTGGAGCCAAAGGCATATGCTTAGAATTACAGAATCTTGTATTAATTTTAATTTGCCTAGATTATTAGAGCTGGGAAAAGATCACAGAACAAAATAATTGTTAGTCTATTGCCTCATCACATACAAATCTAGCTTCTGCCCATTTTTGCCTTGGGTAATCTGGATGTTTCAAGGCTGTTCAGGGCTTTCAAGGTTAAAACTAGTACTTTGAATTGTTCTCTGAAATAGATCTGAAGCCAGTATAGTGGTGCCTTCAGAAATGGGAACTGTTACAAATTACCAGTAGATTGTTCCATACAGGGTGCTACATTTTTAATCAACTGAAATTTCTGGACATTCTTTAGAGGTAGCCCTACATAGCACGTTAATACAACAACCCTCCCTTTTAATTATCAGAGCTTTTATCGTAGAGGCAAGACCACTATCCCCTAGAAGTGCCTATTGCTGGAGTAAAAACATACATAAGCACTCTTGGTCATAGTTCTATTCCAGAAACACTGTTTTTCACATCTAATACTTCAAGCAGATCCAGTCCCACCTAGAACTAGAAGTTTACGCAGCAATAGCACTCACAACAAAGTAAGACAAAACAAAAACAAAAAACCTGTCCAGTTTGAATTAAAGTTCAGCTCATCATCTAGGAATTTGCTGACTGTAGACAGCCACAAATGTTCCACTGTCCTCTTTGAATCTGCAGAAAAGAAAAAATAGAACATACTTTACCCCACATTTCTGGATTGCTTTTCAGGAGTTTCATGTAAATGTTGAACAGCATGGCACAATATGGAACCTTGCAGAATATCATAGGGCAGTGATGGCAAACCTTTTAGAGACCGAGTGCCCAAACTGCAACCCAGAACCCACTATTGCAAAGTGCCAACACTGCAATAAAATCTGAATACTGGGGTTTAAGTTTAGAAAAAACAACTCATTCATAAGAAAACTCAAAGCTAAAATCTTGTGTTAATAAAAATGAATGTATTAAAACTCTCAGCCAGTCCAAGCAAATATCTATCTATCTATCTATCTATCTATCCTTGGCAATACACTGATCAGCCATGCGAAAGCTCGGATGATTCGCGGCTAATGAGTTGCAGTTTGTGATGTCATTGCCTGGCACCGCTACTCCTTTCCGAGCATGTGTATGGCCTCTATGTGTGCTCTTATCCGATGCCTGGCTGCTGGGGTGATTCTGGGGCGACTCATGCCCGCTGTGGCATGTGAGCCATAGGTTCGCCACCACTGTCATAGGGCAAGTAATATGACTGAGTAGGAGTAACCCCTCTTAACATATACCTGAACAGGGCTTGATAGTCAAATGCTAGATATATAGGCAAGCTGTGATGTCTACTCCTACATGATAGCACAACAGTATTATATTAATTTATCAAAACAGATACTGATTTAATTTAGATAACTCAGACTTAGGCAAATTATGTTCTTTTACTTTTAACCCATGATTCATTTCGGCTTTTAACTGAGCTTTTTCTTTTTCAAAATTAAGACTGTTTCTTCCCACACCTACCATACTTCTTTAAAACTTTAAATATTAAACAACATTCATGTAGCTGTTTTCTGATACAAATACACAATCCAAACATAGTATAGAATTTGGTTGGCAGGATGTTTCTTTTACTTCTGTCTAAGAATGAAGATGTTTTTCAAAGAGGCATCCTATGGTTCCTTAAAGAATGTACTTATAGCATGAGTTTTAATAGGCTAGAGCAAGAATCTTCAGCCTTTTTGAGCCTTCAAGCAATATGAAACTTTGAATGTCTCAAATACAACAAAATACAAATCTTATTTACATGGATTATTCCAGATGCTGAAGATTGTCAACTTTTCATAAGTTTCAAATATTTTTAAAGAATAAAGGACTATGTTCAAGTGGTATAAATGAGGGAATGCTGCTCCATTTTAGCTATAGAATATTTCCTGCCTTCCAAAGGTTTCCCAATACATACTTTGATTCTAAGAGTGCAGCATATTTGGAAATAAGATCCACTGAACTTGAGGAAGCTTTTTTGCTTCTGAGTTATCACACATAGTTTCAACTTCTAAACTATGGGTTAGTATTATGTGCAAACCAGGTCACTGAGCAGTTGTTTAATAAAAGATTCAGTGAACTGAAATGCAACCTTACAAAATTTTACCATTTAGTAGTTTGAAGTAGGAGTCCCATTAAAGGAAATTAATACCAATTTTCTGTTTACTTTCCTAATTTCAGTTTTGTATTCATTTACTTTTAATTCTTTGTAGTTAGGCAAAAGGCTTAGTTGTAGACCAAAAGAGAAGATCAGGCTGCACCCTCCCTTATCCCAAATAAAATTCCTGCTTGCACTTACAGATGAACATAAATAAAGTGAACAAGCATTCTGCTGTACCAGGGATGGGGAATGTGTGGCTCTTAAGATGTTGTTGGACTACATAATCCATTATCTCTCACCACTGGATATACTTGCTAGGGCAGATGGGAGTTGTAGTCATCAACATCTGGAGAGGCATACGTTTTCCACCCCAGCCCTGCAGAATGGGCAGCGTACCTTCCTTTATCTCTACACCTTTTGAATAAATTAAATCTCATGTCACCTCACGAGTAGAGCTATCAAAGTTTTATCTAACTTGACTAGGTGATCCACATATACAAGTATACTATGATCTGTGATATCAAAAGCTACTGCAAAGACAAGTTTAATAAATAGTCATAATCTCATAGATCTGCTTGACTCAAAGTGTATCCAGTATCAGTACTAGGTCTGAAGCTAGACTGTTGAAAGGTTATATTGTTTTTGTTGTTTTCCTTCTTTTGACTCTGTCCTGTGCCCACTCTAGAATCATCTTGGATGTAGAGTGTTGTACAGAAATTTATTTAAGTATTTAAAATATTTGTATATCAATCTCCTACTGGGTAGAATATCATATCTGAATGGTAGGTTGCATTTGTAACTCGAATATTCCTAGCCATATACTTGCACTAGAAAAGGCACAAATAATATGCCGGACATATGTGTCTTATGTGTTTTGCAACAGTCAGGATTCTCTTCCATATCATTCCAGAATTCTGCATGTATCATATTGTAGATAGTTGGATGTTTAAAAAAAAGAATTGTATACACATTCTTTTATCTTCATACCATCCATTTTCTTATGAACTGGCTAGGCAACTGATCTGGCTAGATAGGACCAAACTTTGTTGAAATTCTCCTAAATAACAGACTTAATTCATGGTAATATTCTGATGCAGCGGCTGAGAACATAAATACATCTCCTTGATAGTCAGCTAACATGATCTTTTCTTTATCCATGGCTTTAATCTTTTATGCTTAGAATAATATTAATAAATGTAACTAGATAGAAGCTGATCAGAAGCTACCTCAATACAATAGAAAAATTTAATTAAAAAGTTATTAAGCTCTTCTGTTACTACCAGGATTCTGCCTTCTGTTCAGCCATAGCCTTTGACTGTTCAAGAAGAAGGTTCTTATCGATCTCATTCCCTTAATGTTAAAATACTATGAATAAATGCATTAGGGTTCACATCAGCAATAGTTCTCCATCATAGCTTGCTGTATTGTTTAGTACAGGCTTCTCTTGCAGCTGTTGATTTTCAATGCCAGTTGCATTCAGTTGTTTCTCAGCCCTTGAAGATGGAATTCCTACTGTCTATCAGGATACAGATAATCAGATTTCTGACTAAATCACACAGGCTGTGTATTTATATAGGACGTAAACAGAAAAACTAGCTAAAAGCTTAAGAATATTGGTTTGCAGCTGGCAAGAGCCTGACAACACCCATTCATATCTAAAAGTTTTCTTCTTAAGAGAAAATAATTGCCTTGTTCTGTTCTGTGTATGCCAACACCAGAAATGGAAAGAAGAGGGGTCATAAGGTTACTCCCTCCCCCTGCCAGCTTTTTTTAGCATTCCTTTGGCCTACTTATCTTGGGTTAATGCACTTAGAACCCACATTTGCTAGGGAAAGAAAGGAGGTGAGGAAACTTGGGGCAGTGGAAGAACCACTTTTTTTTAACCCACATCCTGAGAATTTGAAATCCAACTCCAGAAGAAAGGGAAATTGAGGGGCCTTCCTCCAAACTCCTCTTCTCCTGCACACACTCTACAGATTGAGTGGACATTAGCTACCTTGAGTGGACTTTTATTACCTTATTATTTACCCTCTGATTATATTTATTACTTTTATTTACCTCATTTACTGATGCATTTGAAATGACTAACAATATAGAAATTGCAACATAAGGACTAACATCCTAATGGTCATCCTCTGAGGTGCGCTCGCGCACTCTCTCTCTCTCTCTCTCCCCCTCCCTCCCTCCCTCCCTCTCCCTCTCCCTCTCCCTCTCCCTCTCCCTCACACACACACACAGCACCCTCTCACAAACTGAAGTCCTTTTAAACTAAGCATGGTTCTTATTTGTATACAACAATGCCCCATTTGGGTAAAATTTATTCAAATCTTGAATAAACAAGTGTGGTGCTGATATGAGGTTTGATTGATTACACTTTCCTTACTAATACAGAGTAACATTAAGATTTGAAAGATAAGTGCTGAATTTTTGTTTATTTCCTGCAGTATGTGGAACAGTATCAGTTGGAGAAGAAGAAGAAGAGGGTGAAACGGGCTGGATTGAAGGAGCTGCAATCCTCCTCTCTGTCGTTTGTGTGGTATTAGTCACAGCTTTCAATGACTGGAGTAAAGAGAAACAATTTAGGGGGTTGCAAAGCCGCATTGAACAAGAACAGAAGTTTACTGTCATCAGGGGTGGCCAAGTCATCCAGATTCCTATAGCTGACATAGTTGTTGGTGATATTGCACAAGTAAAATATGGTAAATATGCCCAATAATTTTATCGACATTTCTGCTAGCCAATTGTGTTTTATTAAAAGTATCTTTTGGCTTTTTTAAGGTGATCTTTTACCAGCAGACGGTGTACTTATACAAGGGAACGACCTCAAAATTGATGAAAGCTCACTGACTGGAGAATCTGATCATGTTAAGAAAACATTGGATCGTGATCCTATGTTGCTCTCAGGTGGGTGATCAGATGGTAGCTAAGATCAGACCATGTGGTATTTTGGAAACTGGACAGAGTTTCCTACTTCTAGAACTAGGTTATGTGAAACATTGTCTTTCCAGGTGGCAGTGTACTACTATCTAGTGCTCTTATGTATTATGTATTATGCTTTTAAGCTCCTTGGGACTGAAAGGATGGGTTTTAACAACAGGTTGGATTTCAGACATACAAGCGTCCTTTAATGTAATTAGTTCAAGCAAGCGTGCGTAGCTGTAGTTGCTCCACTTGCCATAAGATTAAATAGTGTCCATAGAGCAATTGTGCTAGAAACTGGGACCCTCTACATTTTGCCTTTCTAGCTAGTGCACATTAAATAGCTGTTTAATACTGCTGTTTAATACTGCTTTTATTTCACTAATAGTGAAATAAAAATGAAATTATTCAAGGGTGAAGTGAGCAAAAATATAAAAACTACAATAGTGCTGCAAAATGCTTCTTATGTGTACTTATGTTATATGACTATAATTATTGTATTGTATAAAAATGAAATAAATTAATACATTCCTTCCAGCTGACATTCAGTATTCATTGGCTACTGGGCATATTCAGTTGTCTTTTAGCTGTTTCTGTGGGAGTCTTTGCCCCCTTTGTTTTCTGTGTCCTATGGAGTTTTTCCCCCCTGTATTTCTACAAACTTGGGATTACTGTGAGCAAATTTATTGATACTGCTCCCTAAGCACTTCTGTTTTGGTTTATATTCTGTTGACACTCACTACCAGAGTTTGCTATTGGTGGAAGTGTTGAAACTGTATGTAGTTATTTAGTAACCTGTTCCATGAAATTATTTTTACAAGTAATAAAAAATTGAAAGAATCTTACGGAAACATGACTTTTGATTACTTGATTTTGTTTGAAACTGTATGTATTTTCCTTGGGTCTGTAGGGATTGCCTGTGAAAGAGCTTTTCAAGGCCTTAGGTTTATAGTTGACTAGAAACTCAGTTTTGTTCCAAATTTGTATATGATTTTCTGCAATAATTTTCTTTGTGCAAAAAGGGGCATTGCAAAGGATAAGATCATAAGCAAGGCCATGCTGGATTAGACCAAAGATCATCTAGTCTAGCACTCTGAACACAGGGTGGGAAACCAGCTGCCCGTGGAATTGCTCAAGCAGGATGAGTGAATAGTTCACATCACTCTAGAGGTTGCTTTAATATGTTAAGGCAGCAGGGCTTCACTATTTTGATAAATACTGAATTTCATTTTTGCTAAAGTTTTGATTATATATACAATTCATTTGATTAATTCTCTCAGTTTTGCACAGTAGCACACTCCTTTGTCTCAAAGCACAGTGTTGCACCATTGCAGATTCACAACCTATCTGTCACTGCATGCTATATTACCATTCCATTTTTCTTCACACTGTAGTCCGTGTTCTTTTTATGCCACCACAGTTTGTCCAGAATCCCAAATATTTTCCTGTCTCGCTGTCACCATCTGTACATCCACATTTCTTTCAGTGTTTGCTGAACTTCTACCATCATCTCTCAGCCCTTATATCTAATTGACTGTACTAGCACACACAGTTTTCATGTCCCTGAGTGTATGAATTGCTGGTTAATCTGGCACAAAAAGAATGACTGGCAGGATACATTAGGTTGGTTAAAATATGATTCACCTCCATAATGCATCTCTGAATCCAGAAGGCAAAAGACTATACAAGCGTAATGATTCCACTACTCTCCCATTGTTTTTAGGCTTGGATGATCCTTAGCTATTTCCAAAATAAGGCTGCAAACAAAGTATTATTTAGAATTACTTCCAGGGGCTGCAGTCAGCTGTGAGCTCTTGTATTCTGCAGGCTTGCCTTTTTTGCTGCTGCTGTGATCTGAAACTCTCTGCCAACAAAGATTGGGTTGGCCTCCCTTTATGTTGCCTTTCTATCGGCAGGCAGAGTCATTTTTATTTAAGCAGGCCTTTGGTATACAAGCTGGTCTGTTGCTGAAGGGGAGTTAATTGGTTTCTTTCTGTCTGTCTGTCTGTCTGTCTTTCTTTCTTTCTTTCTTTCTTTCTTTCTTTCTTTCTTTCTTTCTTTCTTGTGTTTTTAACTTTCTAATATTGCAATTTTTTTAATCTGGATTTTATTGTTGGCTGCAGTAAGCACCATTTCCAGTGCTGCAGTAAGCACCAGAAAGGCAGGAGATAGAGAAATAAATAAAAGATTGTCATATAGATAGATTAAGAGGTTTGCAAGTTCAAGACTATCTTTGTCTTTTCCAGTTTGCATCTAATTGATTCCCCAGCAGATATGAGCAGTCAGGGTATCAAGGCAGCTGTCTTCTGAAACAACTACGGACCAGAATATAGAAGGGCACTTATAACTGTTTCCTTTTTCTTCTTTGGTTTCAGAAGATACTTGATCAGGATTCCTGATCAATTATTTGTACAATTACTTGAACTGTCCCTGTCTCTCAGATACTCCCTCAGAAGCATAAGCACATGTAATTGATTTTCCTCCACAGTTATTTCTTTTAAGTTGCGTTCCCACAATAAGATTTTAGAATAAATTATTACTGTCACCATGCATAGAAAACATTACACTAATTGTCTATTTATTTATAAGATTTATATCCTGCCTTTTTCTTTTTTAAGAACTCAAAGCAGCTTGCAACATTCTGCTCCTGCTGCTCTCATTTTTATCCCTGCAAGCACCCCCCCACCCCCCATGAAATAGGTTGGGCTGAGAATGTGTGATTGGCCCGAATTCACCCAGTTGGCTGCATAGCTGAACTAGACACAGATTGCCTGAGTCCCAGTGCTGCATCATTAAATCATTATATCAAGGAGTAGTTCCTCTATACTCCTCACTAGTCAGACATCACCTGAAATACTGTGTCCAGTTCTGGGCACCAAGATTTAAGAAAGATGCAGGTAAATTAGAAAGGGTCCAGTGGAGGGCAACAAAAATGATCCAGGGTTTGGAAACACTGCCCTGCGAGGAGAGACTGAGAGGGCATGTTCAGTCTTGAGAAGAGAAGCCTGGGGGGGGGGGGGGGGGGACCATGATATCCCTCTATAAATACCTCAAAGGCTGTCACAAAGAGAAAGGTCAAGATCTCTTCTTGCTAATACAAGAGTGTAGGACATGGAATAATCAAGTCAAGCTGCGACAACCAAGATTCAGGCTGGACATCAGGAAGAGCTTCCTCACTGTCAGAGCAATACAACAGTGGCACCAGCTGCCTAGAGAGGTGTTGGGCTGTCCCACATTAGAGACATTCAGAAAGAAACTGGACATCTGAGTGAGATGGTGTAAATTGGTGTCCTTGCCACAGCAGGAGCTTGGACTTGATGGCCTTCATGGCCCCTTCCAACTCTACTATTCTATGATGAAAAGCTCTTTTGTGTCAGTCCACTTGAAAAATATAATATGGGATAGATAATACTACAAGTACATGCATGGCTAATTTATACCATATATGTTGGTAGGTGTGCATACAACCTGGCACATACGTAATTTTATTACTTTGAATCAATATGTGAATCCACCTTTATAATGCATGCATTTAGGAACAGGTACTGTAATGCCCTCAAATTGAAAACTTCATTAACTGCAACATTGTACCCTGTTTTGAAGGTCTTTTGAAAATCTTTATCTCTGTCCTTTCACTGAGGGTCATATCCACCCAAACCTGAAAAACTGATATCCAAGATTAGAACTAGCTGTTCATTATTGTATTCTTTGGTTTTCCCCTTGTATGTTTGACTACCTCATGTGTATTGAGCAAGCCAAGCCATCAAATTTAAACTTTCTGGAAGTGTGAAAAAGGGAGGTTCTAGATGAGCCACATTCTCAGGAATAGATGGAGGATGAGAGCACTAAAACAGTTCAGGTGTATGTCAGTCTCATCTTCTGTCAATCCCTTATTATCAAGCTGCTAGAAGATTTTCCAGACCTAGTATGTTAATCCTGAATCTGCATAAATGCTTGAACAGGACCAGCGATGTCCTCTGTTCTGCACTCAAGCTGGAAAGTCAGCCGAGTCTAGTGTACAGTTCAAGGTTATTACTGATTTAGCATGGTTTTTTTGGGAGGCAGTGGGAAGGAGATAGAGCAGAAAATGAGTTTTACACTAAACCCAAAATATAGAATGCTTTAGGTACATTTTGACAAATTGGTGTGAGATAATCCTGTCCTTGAAGAGTTCCTTGGTACATTTAAAATTAATTTCACTTGAGAATTCTGCCTTCGGGTTTGCCCCTGTACCTGGTGGATCTTCCCTTCTCCAGTAGTAGAAAAGAATGCCCACGGGTATACATATGTTACCATGCAAGTTGTTACAACTTTGGGAAACAAACCTACAGAAAGGCCAGTGCAAATTTCCATCAGCTAGGATTATATATGAGAAGACGCCTGGATAAATGACCAGGATGAGTTTGCAAGATGTTCTGTATGTACTCTTAGCTGTACTCTTAAAATTGCTTGTCCTCCCTACCCTCTGTCAGACAAAACCATGTTCAAACATGCATATTGTTGCCACCATCTGTCTGTTGTTGGGCTAATAATAGGGATAACCCTAATTATGCTGCCCTGAGAATGGTGTAGAAAGGTGACTTTAAGAAGGAAATATAAACATAGCCAATTTTTAGGCATTTGTCTGTATTTGCTAGAAACTGAATCTTGCACATATAATGCATTACTGGGCATGCTTTTTAAATAGGTACTAGATTGCCAGACAACTGTGAATTGGCTCAGACTATTTTGGGCAGTTTAAAATCCTTTACCTGTACATATATAATGAATGGCCTTTATTGATCAAACCAGGATCTATACTGTAACAGTAATAACAGCACCAACAGCTTTAATTGCTAAGGATTGTACAGTTACAACACTATGAACTGTAACAAAGTTTACAAATAATTTTGAATTTCAGGTACACATGTAATGGAAGGTTCTGGAAGAATGGTAGTTACTGCTGTAGGTGTAAATTCACAAACTGGGATTATCTTTACTTTGCTTGGTGCTGGATCTGATGATGAAGAAGAAAAGAAGGAAAAAGAGAAAAAGGACAAGAAAAGTAAGCATAAAAATTAGAAAGCTTGAAAATATTTGGACAGTCCATAAATGTGTGTTTTTATATGAAGTCTACATGTGTTTCTAATAGAAATCAGGTTCTCCCTTCAGCTGTCCAGGATAAGATTGAAAATGGAATCACGATCTCTTTTATCTCAATTATTTTGAGTTAACATTCTGGGTCAACATGAGCTGACATTACACTAGCCACTTCAATACAATCAGTTTTCACTCAAGTGCTCTTAAAAGTATCACAGGATACAGCGTGTTGTGTGAAGTATAACAGATAATCAGAAACTCAGCAGAATGCAAGAGGAATTGTTCTAAAGTATAAACTCTGAAAGGTGTTTCTTATCTGTGAAGTAAGTCTGTATCTTTGAGGATTAACATACGTTTCAGCTGCAGCTGAATATTAAATACTTCTTAAGCTTTAGGAGGAGTCCACAAAATTTGAGAGCTAGCCAAATCTTGTACCTGCCATGACCCCACCTGCTACTACAGAGGAAGGAACAGGATCTTACATGATAATGTACTGAACTCAAGGTCCAACCTGACTGTGCATGATATGCCCCTGTCCTACAGTTGGGAGAGGGAATTGGGGGCTGGTTGCATTGACCTCCAACAACAAAATAGCAGTTTTCATATGTCTCCAGAGGGGAGGGAGAAACTTGTCCCTTTTCAGGCCCATGAGAATTGGAAAGCTCTCACTGACCCTTTGCTTTTGAAGTTACGGCACAAAATTTTGACCTATCATGGTCTTCTGGGACACAAGCTAGTAGCAACACTATTGTTCATTTTAACCTAATAGATGCAAGATTAGAGTGAGAACATGAGGATTAAAGGTTGGTACACTCACAGCTATACTTTGGGCAAACCAATAAAAAGAGCAGCTGAACCATTCCATATGAAGAGCTACAGCTGTAAGAAGAGAAATACTGTATCTGTACGTTTTTTTCTTTCTTGCCATCTCCCACACAGTTTCTCATTTGATTCCTTTTAGTTCTTTTCTCAGCAAGTTCCCCTCCCTGCCAAGAAAGTCTTATTGCTTCTGAATATTTGAGCACCCTTACAACATTAGAATTACCCTGTAATGCTCTCAAACAGTGAATTAAACCTAAGCATTTAATGTGCTCTAAAGCACACTGATCTATTCATTAGATTGCTAGGTACTTCTGAGGTCCAGAAAAGTATTATAGGAGACTGCTCTGAATTACTTGAAAAGAAAGAGTGAAGCTTTAACTGACAGAGCAGTAAGCATCTATATAGACCTTGCAATTGCAAAAGAAGTTATAAAAACTAATCTCTCTATTTAGTTATTGGAATGGTGTCCTTTAGATTATAGTTAGGTAATGCTATGCATATATAAGCTAAAAATAAACAAAAAATCTCATTATCCAAATCTAAAGTGACATTTGAGCCTTATTTCTAAATCAGTCACTGGTTTTGTTTTCTTTTTTTGCAGGTAAAAAACAAGATGGTGCTATTGAAAATCGTAACAAAGGTAAAGAACAGTATGGATATTAATTCTGGGTTTTGAGTACAATAGATTTGTAACATTCAACCAAAATTTGCACTTTGCATTTTGAAATTATATTGATTATAGTTTTAATTAGGAATAATTAATTAATAATTAAGGGTTGGGAAGAACCCTTTAGAATCAATCCTTCTAGTGTCTACAGACTTTCTTTTGTGCTTGGCCCAGTCCTGCAAAGTAAGTGGGACCAAGAGGAAATCCATGACCTCTTGCAGACCCCTGGTTGTGCAACCAGGAACTTTTCTTGTCAGGAGTTGCTGCAGGATGCAGAAAAGGGATGCTATGATCACACTAGCTGCCATTCCCAGTGACCAACCTTCTTCCCCACTCACTGCTATTGGTGACAGCAGCATATGGGAGAAAGGGGTGCTACTTCCATGGTGAATGAGGCTTAATTACTGGTGAGAGCCCCACAGATATTGGGTGCACTTGCCAGGAACTTGGACTCTGGACCACTAAGCTCAGGGAATCCAATGGATTCCCATCCCCCAAATGGATTTCTTGCACATCCCTAATTGTAATCTTGAAGCTAAAAGATGTGACTTGTTCTCACAGTGGGATACTGGAACAGAGTGTACTCTTAAACTAGTGAGTATAGTCCATAAGCTAATATGCTCCCCCATATAATCCTTATTAGAAGCTGTCCTTCTAAATATACTAAAGCATTTGATCAGCACCAATGTTAACCACTCTTGAAGCCAGCTGAGCAAATGTCAAGAGCAGGACATTTTTGAAGGAATTCATTTATAAGGTCAATATAAGTAGCAACAGAAAGCCTGTCAGGACTCCTGCTTAATTTGGGGTTGTAGCTGGGGTTAGAGCTGCTCATGGCTCTAAAATGTGGAGTGGCAGGGTGGGGAGAGAGATTATGATTCTGTGACCTACTCACCATCTGTTAATCATGGTTTTAGAGAGAGTGTGCATCATTTGATAGTCTGGGTGTCTATTGTCAGATCTCATGAGAATATGACACTGTTTCTATAAACATAGGACTGCTTTTGGAAATGGCAATCCACTTATTTCTCCCAGTCCTCAATGTACTTGTGCAGTGATTTTGTCTTTTTTCCTGCTACTGCTCGATTTTGTTGGTAGCAGAAAAACAAAAATACTCTTTCAAAGTACAAGGAAATTTTATCAACCCCATAAATGCTACAATTTGTGGCTAAGCAATGCTGTATTAAATCTGTGTTTTTCCTTAAGACAGTTACTTCTAATTCCTTAGGACCTAAGTTGCAAAGGAATTATCAAGGTCCACTGATTTTGGCTTGACTGTATCATCAGTCACTGACTCCTCTTTTACCTCCACTCCACCAAGCCTAGGGTCTCATGGAATATGCAGATACTTAAGAAGACATTACCCCAGTGGGTAATGTCTTCTGTTTTTATGATAGATGTTTGAAGAAGGTAGTGAGAATGCAGTTTGTCTTTAAATTCCAGCAGGAAGCACGATAACATCACTTCCTCTATCAGTTCTCCAAACTGCAGAAAAGTTGGGTGAAAGTACAGGTGTTGCTCTACTTGTGCATTCGATTTTGCAGAGAACCAAGTGAACACCATCCCTTAGGTGCTTCTGCAGTTCACAGGAGGGATCTTTACATTAGCTATGCAGAATAAGATGGAGGAGGAGAATGATGTAAGCTGCCTTGAGCCCTTTGTAGGAAAAGGGCAGGCGATAGATAGATAGGAGCAGTAACTACATGGGAGGCATTTCTAATTTACTACTGAACAAACATGAGATATGCTCTTCAAATTCTTGAACTGTACCATTGCAAGGACAATGACCTGGTCAGTGTTATCTGTCAAATTCTAAGTTTGATGAGGTGAGAGCGCATTACAGCCTAAATTACAAAAAGAGGACAGCTGACAGTTGCCTAGTTGTCAGAAAGCACCAAGAAAGGGAAGAGTGGCAGAATAGGTGGTCCAAAAGGATATGGGCTTAAGGTTGTCTTCTTAGCAATGTAATCTAACTTCCCAGTGCCTTCCACCTTTTTAGCACTTTCCAGTATCTCCAACTAGCTCTAACCCTAACAGAGCTATTACTGCCTTGCCAACTATTACTGCAAGCTTTCCAAAGCAGTAACAAAAAGAAACCAAAAAACCCCTAAGGGACAGAATAGATGGATCCACATGGGGGTGGGGAGAATTGCCCCATTTGATCTGCTATTGTGAGAGAAAGATAGAGAGAGAGAGACAGAGAGACAGAGAGACAGAGAGACAGAGAGAGACAGAGTATTTTGGACAGGATAAAATACAGAGATGTCAAGATCAGAAAGCAAATGGAGCAGGAAAAAAAGCAAACATTTCTCATCAATTTACTTCATGAAATCCACCTATATTTCCCTTTGTTCACTTTGCAGACATGAAATTTGCATATATTTCTCCATTTAAAAAGAGAAAAATGCACAGATTTGACAGATCTTTCTTTTAATAATTTTTACTGAATCTTCCTAAAATATGCTTTAGTGTATGCTTTGCCTGAAACATATTTAATAACTTATAGATTGTTAAGTAGTAATACTGAAGCAGCTGTTTGAAAACACTAAGCAAGGTCCAATCTGTTGTTTATGTAGCAAAAGCTCAAGATGGTGCAGCCATGGAAATGCAGCCCCTGAAGAGTGAAGATGGTGCTGATGGAGATGACAAAAAACGAAACAACATGCCCAAGAAAGAGAAATCTGTTCTGCAAGGAAAACTCACTAAGTTAGCAGTTCAGATTGGCAAAGCAGGTTTGGCTTTTCATTGTTATGATGCTTGATGGAATAAGATAAATAGAAATTAGTATTTTAAATTGTGGATTGCCATTACTATTCTAGAGGGAATATAATTATCTAGTTAAAAGTAAATGTATGGTGCTTATTTGATAGTACTAAGCCAATACAGTATACCCCCATGAAGTTGTGCTTCAGCAGTCGCAGCTTCAGTCTTTCGTGGGATTTTGCAAGTAAGCTGGCGCCTCGCTGTGCGGTGGCTTACTCACAAGGAGATAGTTTCCTCCAAGTTTGAACTCACTTGGAGAAAACAATCTCTGTGCGCACCTGCCTCGTTATGCGCACGCTCCCGCCCCCCCAGCCCGGCCCAGCCCACGCCTCCTTCCTGCACCGCCTTGGCGGCCAGCAGCCATCGCCTGCACCAAATTTGCGGTTTTTCACAATTCGTGAGTGCTTTGGGAACGTAACCCTCGCGAATTTCAGGGGATTACTGTAGTGTTAACTGATGGTCAGAGATCAGCATTTTAATTGGTGAACATAATGGCTCCATAGTCTATTTGGTTGTTCCAGCAATAGATGTTATAATCTTTGCTGCAATGAGTTTTTATTTAAAATACGTATATGTTTTCACAAACTGAATTCAAGATGGCTTACATAGAAGCACATTGTATAATAACTAAAACAAACAAACAAAGTAGAATATGTCTTAGCCCTTGCTTCTGAAAAAATGGCTCTGCAACAATGGTTGCCAGTCATTAGTTTGGTATTTGTTTCCCCACCACTACCTCTATGCCCTTTCGCACATCTGCTTTTAAATATTGCTTAAAGCTGGAACTGCCCTATCCATAGTGCTGATAATTTTTCATCACTATTTCAGTCATTTCTGTATGTTAGTTCCTCTGATTCTTCCTATGAAATTCTGCTTCCTCTTCAGTTTTTTTCCCTAGTTGTATTAATAGCTGTTGTGTTCCTTCTTAGTAATGGTTGTTGGAAACTTTGAAAAAATATCTAAGTGCAGGATTAGTCCAAAGACCTATCTAGTCCCACATCCTGTTTTCCCCAGTAATGGTGAACCTGTTGCCTGTGGGAGTCCAGAAGACTTGAGGGCAATAGCTACTTCTTAAGTTCCACAGAAACTGGTACTCAAAGGCATATACTGCCTCCATTACTGCATGTAGCATATAGCCATCATGAGTTTAGTAACCAATGGGAGCCTTTTTCGCCATGGATTTCTCCAGTCTTCCTTAAAAACCATTACCACATCTCGTAGCAAATTCCATATGTTAACCATATCTTACTGAAGAAGTGCATCCTTTTAACAACTTTGATCTTCCACCATTTAGATACATTGTATGACTTCAGATTTAATATCATATGAGAGAAGGGAACAATTCTCATCCTGTTTTGTCCACACCATACTTCATTTGATACAATTCAGTCATGCCCTTTTATTTCACTTTTTCTCTAAACCAAGAGCCAGCGATTATGGACTTGTAGTCCAAAATATGTGGACAATAGGTTTAAATTTAAAAGCCCCAAACATTTTAAAAGGGGGTTCCTCCAGTTTCTTGACCACTTTGGTTGCCCTTTTCCGTACTTTTCCCAGCTCATTATTTTTGAGCTACAGCTACCATAGCTACAGCTATGATGTATTTCAAGTGGCATCATGCTCTAGGTATGCATAAAGGTTATGATACTGACTTGTATTAATGATCCATAACATGTTAATGTTTTCATTGCACTTCTTATCAACAAACCAAAATCTTTTTTCCTAGCCATTCACTATCAACTCACGCCTTATCCATATATATAGCTTCAGGTTTGTTTGTTTTTTAACTGTAAACTACATTTACCATTTTATAGTTCACTCAGTTTGGAGAAATCCTTTTAGATTTAAGCAACCTAAATATTTTTGGCATTATCAAGAAATCTTGGCATCTTGCTGCTCTCCTCTAACTCCAGATCATTCATGAACAACTCAGGAAGTACTGGTTCCTATCTAAATCCTTTGAAAACTTTTCAAGTAATTAGTTGTAAGAGTTTAATCAAGACTTTGAAATGGATGTCTGAGACTTATTTTTAGAGTACAATAAAGGATAACTAGTTCTCTTCTCTTCATGAAAGGTTTGCTGATGTCTGCAATCACGGTAATCATCCTTGTGTTATATTTTGTGATTGATACATTCTGGGTCCAGCGACGTCCTTGGCTTGCTGAATGCACACCAATATATATTCAGTATTTTGTAAAGTTTTTCATCATTGGTGTTACTGTCCTGGTTGTGGCAGTTCCAGAGGGTCTTCCACTTGCGGTCACTATCTCACTGGCTTACTCTGTAAAGGTATGTGGGAGAAATGAATGTTTTTATATACTAGTACATTATACAGCATAGAGAATTGAAATGCATAGATGTTTTCCTAACTGAACTACACTTCAGTGAAATTTCTATTAAGGATTAACTGTGAATGTCTTGTTTATAGTGTAATCCATTCTCTTCCTCACATTTGCACAAGCATATTCCACATCAATCCGTGTATTCTCTTTCTTATCCATTAACCTACATAATTTACTTGCATACCACACAAGAATTGATCACAAGAAGCAGGACACAGGAGGAAGTTGTGGTGAGACAAAGGAGCTGAGGAATAGATGGGGGAGCTGCAGAAAGGGAAATTGCATCCAAGGAGACCAGGCTGAGCACTAGGACGCTAGATGCTGCATGAAGAGAATGGAAAATCTCAGTGGTGGAGCAAACATGGTTGGGGAGAAACCTAGGAATAGACAGTGCAGGACAGGGTGGTTCCTTGGTTTTGTATTAAAGCTAACTTCTTTTCAGCACTACCCTTCTTGTTCCCTAAGAAGTTTCAGTAACTTAGGAGAAATTAATGCCTCTGCTTTATGTTAGGCTTTTCTGAAATTTATTTGTTTTAATTCATTTCTATACCACTCAATAGCCAAAGCGCTTTGGGTGGGTCACAGAAATGTAGGGCTGCATTCTACTAATGTAAACTGCATTGCACTAGTGTAATCTACTCTAGTACAATACCAATAACTTGAGCTGGCATGGTAGTTTCCCTGGGTCAATTAGCATACCATTAGCTAGTGCTATTACCATTAGTAGCTTAGAGTAGTTTATACTAGCACAACATGATTTAAGTTAGCAGTTGCATCCTGTTGAATACTGTTGAATACTGCCCCAACTCTAAAATAGATGTAATAAAAATGAATGACTGGATTTGCATGACATGACAAACTACAGTGGGTTTTGTTTTGTTTTTTACCATTGCTTATTGTTTCATCTGAACTGAGCTGTGGTGTTTCATTATGGTTTATTTTGTCTGTAGAAATCATGATAAAAAACAGTTCTGTTCTCTGCTTACCATTTTGGTGTCTGTTTCTCATGAGGTTTCACATGACTTCCAAATGTAGCATTGTGGTTTTCACCACCTCAAATTGAACTATCACAGAGTGACCTAGAAAGAGCTCTGGGAGCTCCTTCATGCAGTCTTTGCTATCCATTTCTGCCTAGTTAGGATAGGATATGTGCCAATCAGTAGTGGGAGGTCTAAGCAGAGAGGGTGGAATTTGATTGTCTTTTTGAGTGGCTCATGGTAAGAAACAGGCAGTGTTGCTTTTTGTGACATACGAAAAGTTTAAAACAGAGTAAAAGCAGACTAAAAACCAGCCACAGTGAAAGATCTGAAAACTAAGGTTCTAACTTGAAGTTTAAATGTACAGTTTCAATTTTGTCTTTATCTAGGAGCATCAACTTAATATCATTCAAAGTGAATTTGTTTGTATTTTTTATAGAAAATGATGAAGGATAATAACTTGGTCAGACATCTGGATGCTTGTGAAACAATGGGAAATGCAACTGCCATTTGTTCAGATAAAACGGGAACATTAACAATGAATAGAATGACAGTAGTCCAGGCTTACATAAGTGAAAAACATTATAAAAAAATTCCAGAGCCACAAGCTATTCCTGAGAAAACTTTGTCATACCTTGTAACGGGAATCTCTGTTAATTCTGCGTATACTTCTAAAATCCTGGTAAGTGTACATTAGAAATACGCCTTTCAGTTGAACAGATATAGCAAGTTTCAGCCTAAGTATTTAACATCCTTTGCTTTCAGAGGTAAAGCACATGCTTAATAGCTTTCCATCTAAAATCAATGAGTCCTCAAAATACTTAACTTTAGCTAGGTTTTTCAAGTTTTACAAGTCCTACAAAACCATTTTAAAAAGTTGTAATAAAGGAATATGTGTGTATTGTTGACTATTACACTATTAACTTTAGAGTAACAAATGCTGATAGTATTGGATTGTGCTTTCTTGATTGGATAATTAATTGAAAACTTGCTTGTAAAATGTGAAACTACTAGCTCAGTTCTTTACAGATCTAGTACATTTTGAGTTTTATACCATTTTAATACGTTTCCTAGAACATAGTAAAGTTTGCATCTGGCTAAAGTAGCAGTGCCGGATAATCTGCCTTTGCATGGCTTGATGAGCTATTTACCTACTGAAAGATGCAAAATAATCTTTTGATTCCTTCCAGGAGCCACAAAGTTTCACATGTCCTTTCTAAATTTCTAAATATTTTAAATTTCTAAATATTCTAAATTTTAGACTCTAAAACAACAAAGTAGCTTGCATTCTTTTGATTGGCAAGAGCATTCTAATAAGCAAGAATTGCTTTCTTTAACTGATAGACCAAGCCAAACATCATCTGCAAGGAGCTCAATCACTCCTCTGTTTTTGCAGTCCCAGGTAGGCAGCAAAAACGAGTTTATTGAGCAGCTGGTAGGCATGATTAGTGAATTAAGTTTGGCTTGGTGTGTCACATTATGCAGGTCTGCGCATTTGCCAAACCAACAGCCCTTCTTATTAATGGATGTATTTACAAATGGCAATATCCTATCACAAAACCACCATGCTGGGTCTCCATGGAGTGAGGGAGGAGACCTCTTTATGAAAGTGCTGGAGTGCCCACAAAAAGGAAATGTAAGAATTGACCCCCTTGAGTTTTGCCCGCTTTTGAAATAAATGACTGTGCATCTTGAAATTGTGTAAAGTGTGTAAAACTGTAGTATGTGTTCTGACTTGAAGGCAAATCACTGTTATTAAAAATGTCCTTCTATATTTAACATTCTATTGAATGTTCTTTGTTTAATTCTTTAGTAAGTCCCCTGTAGGAATCATACTTGTTTAAGGAAGTATAGAAGCTAAAATGGGCAAGTAACTACAGCAAATGACTTGCAAATCTTTAATGTATGGTTTAAACGATGATAAATTCAGGCTTATTTGCTTAAACTGAAGCAAATTCCTTTTCAAAGAGTTATTCTGTTTTTTCAGCCTCCGGAAAAGGAAGGTGGTCTGCCTCGTCATGTTGGTAATAAAACTGAATGTGCCTTGCTGGGACTACTTTTGGATTTGAAACGGGATTATCAAGATGTTAGAAATGAAATACCAGAAGAGGCCCTTTACAAAGTCTACACCTTCAACTCTGTTAGAAAATCTATGAGTACTGTGTTAAAGAATTCTGATGGCAGTTTCCGGATATTCAGCAAGGGTGCCTCGGAGATAGTACTTAAAAAGCAAGTTAGATTTGTACTTGTGGTCTCTATGACATAACAGTTTGATTCAGTTCCTGAAATGGTACCTGAGATTTAAACAATGTGTTTCTTATTTAATCTTGGTAGTTCTTAGAATTAACTAATTTAGAACCTTTTCCCATAAAGGTTGGTATCAGCATTCATAACATGTCTGTATTTAGAATGGATGCTTCACTGATGAAGCTGAACAAATCTTTGGTGAATACAAGATTGTGTTTAACTTGCATTAGTCAGTATGAAAGCTCTTGCACAATGTAATACAGTGACTACTTAGTGCTATGTTATATAATCTTCCTTTTTAACTACCTCATCATAGAAAAAAACTAATTTTTTGCTGCTGTTTTCCCTTCTAACATTTTGCATTTGAATGAATATACCCAAACTAAATATGCTCTCTTCATGATTTTTAAATGCAGAACTAGTTGTTAGTAACGCATATGCAGTTCAATTTACAGGGTTGGAAGGCTGTTTATATAGCTGTGGTCTCAGAACTTTTTGTTCAGGTTATTGTAGTGTGCACTTGTAGCATCTTACAAATCACCTAGTTTATGGCAGACAATGTGAGAAAATATGTGCCAGTCCAACTCCTAAACAGTTCCCTTATAACTACACTTTATTTTGTGGGGGCATGTAACATTGGCTATAGACATGAAAATACATCTTGAAGAACTGCTAGATATTTTCATATTATAAAAGTCTGGCATATAATGTCAAGATTACAGTGCTTCTTTCTGGCATGGAGTTGAGTGAAATACTTTCTACTAAGGTGGATCTGAGTTATCTTTATTCTGCCCAGGCTTTGTTACACTGGCAAAGGGGTGGTGGGGAGCAGAGTCCATGGAGATGCTCCTAGAACATGGTAGGAACCTATAAGCTGTGTTGTACAAAGAATCCCCTTTGTTCTTCCCTGTCTTTCCTTTACCCTCTTACTATGATCAAGCACTAGCACAAAAATGTTCCAATACTGGGGAACAGAGGGTGCTGAAAACTGTTGTTGCTTTCTTAGAATGAAGTAGTCTGTGTAATGGGGTTGTATGTATCTTAAGTGCCATGAGACTTAAGGAGAATCAGCGTTAAACCTCTTTGAGAAGAGTATCTTTGGTAAAAAGGAATTTCAGTGGGTGTTCTGAATCTTGAAGTTATTTTTTTCTAGGTGCTTCAAGATATTAAGTGCAAATGGGGAACCGAAAGTATTCCGACCAAGAGATCGTGATGATATTGTAAAAACTGTGATTGAACCTATGGCCTCAGAGGGACTCAGAACCATATGCCTGGCATTCAGAGACTTCCCAGCTGGAGAACCTGAGCCAGAATGGGACAATGAAAATGACATAGTCACTGGTCTTACATGCATTGCTGTTGTAGGCATTGAAGATCCTGTGAGGCATGAGGTAGTAGAAACTTTTTTCAAGTGTACTTCTGAACTTGGTTTGCTAATTTACCAATTTTCTATTCTAGAACCTCTGCCAAACTTAGCTTTTAAAAGAAATGTAAGCATACCAGGACTTATCATATTTTTTGCTCTACAAGACTCACTTTCCCCCCCTCAAAAGTAAGGGGAAATGTCTGTGCATCTTATAGAGCGAATATGTGTGTGCAGTAAGTCTGTCAGATGTGCAGCCCATGGGGAAGTGATGGGGAATGTGCCTGTGATTATGTGCCCATTTGATTCAGATTTTTTTTTCTTGTTTTCTTCCTCTAAAAACTAGGTGCGTCTTATGGTCAGGCGCGTCTTATAGAGTGAAAAATACGGTAGTTGCTTTGTTTTTACGGTTAATGGCTGGGTTTGCATGACATACTCACTGTGGTTTCTAAGTTTGGTATAGAAAGGGGGCCCGTTCTTTTAAGTTATAGTTTCCCATCAGCATAAGGGGGACAGATGACTTTGCACTTTCCAGGTTACAAAGTGAAAATACTCAGATGGAGCATGAGAGCCAGCCTGCCTTCAAAAAGAAGGAAGGCATTTCTGAACTGGGTGGGATATAGATTGAGTTCTTTAACCCTGTAAGGAGATGACAGGCAAAGTGAGTGGAACAATTAAGAAGTGTCTGACCTTCCTTCCTTCAAGCAGCAGGAGCCACCCTGAGGGTGGAATCAGGAACAGGGGAGAAGGGGGTGTTTGATTGTGGATTCAACTCTTCACATGGGCAAGCACTACTCCCACATCTCAAAAAAGATAATTACTTTGATTTATGCAGCTTGATAATCTGTAGAGCTCAAATAAAGGGATGTCCTTCTAAGGTTTCATCTAAGCCTACTGGAAGTGAAAAAGTGTTGGGGAGACCTGCCACGATCATTTGGGTTATAAGCCATCCTGAGAAGCCATGGCTTGTTTTAGGAGTTGTTCTAGTCACAATAGGTTGCTGTGTCATCCATATCCAGATGACATGGATAAATCTCATTGACAAGTGACTGCCTTGCCAACATCAGCAAAAACTCTATGCTACTCTTGCCAAGTTGCTCTTGTGCTCTAGCAGAACTTGGCGGGAAGCTGGAACAGGTCCTGCTGCAGGTCCTTTTGGCCTTTCCATGGCTTCTCCCAACTTTTTTTTAAGATCACAAAAGCCAGCTGCCCAGCAAATTTTGATCTTCATCCCAAGCATCTATAGGCTCAAGCAAGACTAAAAGTGCTTTCCTCCACTTTTTTGTAAAGGGAGCTGACAAAACTCAGGGTCCCTTTAGAAAGGAAAGTTTGAGTAGGACAGTTAGGATTTCCTCTGGACAAATTCAGAGATACATCTCAGTTTAAATCCATCAATTCCCTCTCAGAACCCCCATTTTTTAAATTTATAATTTTACTAGATTTTTACATTCTTCCAACAAAGCCAAGCATCAGTGAAAAACCACTGAGAATGCAAAACAAGAGTAGAACCACAAACACATATACAGAATGGGGGCGGGGGGGACAAAACAAACACCCAAATAGCCACGCAGTAATGATCAAAGATAACACTGAACTGGTTCTGAAGGTATTACTAGTAATATATATGTATACAGGGGACCTTGAATTTTTACAGCCACTTGTCAAGCCTAAAATGGCTTGTGGCATGCAGAGTGGGGAAAGTTTTGTACCTGCTGCAGTGACCTCTGGGACCCAAGGACGTTCCCAGTCAATCCCAGACTTATTGGGTATATGTGGCTTATTGTGTTGTGTAAGCCCACCCATTGTGTAGATGATACTAATGTAACCTTTTCATTTTCATGTTAACTGACTTAAGCACTTGCCTTCAAGGCTCTTCTATGAGTGAAGAATAACTACTACAAATAGTATCATTTTCAGGGAAGCATCATGTACCATGATGTTGTGAGAGATAACATGGGTGTTCCTATCCCTTTGGGAAACTTCCTTCATTTGTACTTCAGTGGAATTAATGTTGACATTGAAATACAACTTTTTTAGAGTAGTTTTTATTTTTTATTCCCCAATCCAGTTTTTCTAATGGATTGGAGAAATGTTCAGTATAAAATGCATAGTATTTGGTCTAAAATTACTAAATATTTTCAGAAAGGAGAACTATGTCCCTTTCTTTCTGCAGCACTCTAAGGCCTAGTTCTCTCAAGCAGCATATAAAAGCATAACAAAAGCCATGTTGAATCAGACTAAATGGTCCATCCAGTCTAGCACTCTAGTCACACAGTGGCAAATCAGCTGCCCAGAGCATCCCTCAAGCAGTTTCACCTGCTCAAGCTCCTACTAAATCTTAACCCTCACATTCTGTCTGAAGCAGTGCAGTTGATAAAAGTTTACTTATCACATCTATCTATAATAGTTAGACCTTCTCTCAATATTGCCAGAAACCTTTTATCTATCAGTAGATCCCGGTCTGTTTCTTCATCTAAGTCTCTTCTAAATGTGAGTCACTTAAATGTTTATAGGAATAAATGTGTTTTTAATGAGTTGACTCTCTTCTAATAAACTATAAGAACCTAGGTAAACTAATAATAGTTATACACATCTACTTGATACATACCTGTAAATGAAAACATGCATACATTGATGGCTAAATCTGCATGTTATCCATAGGAACATTGTTACCATATTGTTCTATAGAACTGTCAAATTACTGTGTCAACTGAAATACAGTTTTACAGGAAGAGAGAGGTATTTCTGTGACAATCTCAGAGTTGACAATAAAAAAAACTAGATCATTTTCTTGTTGAACTCTGTTGTAGCAAAGCTCTTATATAAGTAATTATTTTTCTTCTTAGGTACCAGATGCAATAAGAAAATGCCAGCGTGCTGGTATAACTGTACGTATGGTTACTGGTGATAATATTAACACTGCCCGTGCTATTGCTTTAAAATGTGGCATTTTGCATCCTGGTGAAGATTTCTTATGCCTAGAAGGCAAAGAATTCAATAGAAGAATACGTAATGAAAAAGGAGAGGTACGTCTAGTTAATAATTATTCTCATTTGGATTTTGTAAATCATAGTTATGAAACAAGCATGGATAAAAATAAAGATTTTTTAATTTGGGTTTGAAACATTTAAACCAGGATTTCTGTTTTGTTTACTTGCTAGTAAAATACTATTTAATAACTGCATAGGTAGCAATTAAATCTAAAACATCATAAACCTACACTGACAATCTCATAAACAATCAGTTAATGGCTCTGTCACATTCTGATTTAATTACCTACCAACCAAATGAGCAGTCATTGTCTCATAAATGACTCTCCAGCAACTTTAGGTAGGGTTGGGAAAAAAACCCTGTCTGAAATTCTTAGAAAGATGATGCCTGTCAGAGTTGAAAATATCAGGCTTGATGCACCAGTGGTGTGACTTAGTGTAAGGCAGCTTTGTTGTACTTTATATTTCCTCCATCTGTAAAGTTGCATGTGCAGAGCTACAGCTCTGACAGTGCTACTGAACTAAGAAAGGCTGAGGACTTCAGTAGGACAAAACATCAACAATCAGAAAGAACAGTGGGAGGCAGAAAGGAACTATGAAATGAAATTGAAAGTAAAACTTATTGTACAGACACAACTTCAAATTCCTATATTCCCCCACCCCATATTTTTGTCACAGTAAACTCATGTCTTCTTGGTATGAGACCATTTCCTACAATGTATCTTCTTTGATATTATAAAATGCTATATTGACCTGTAAATTATAGTGTCTCTGATCAGTTTTGCATCTTGAGTAAGCAACATGTGATGAACTCTCAGTGGCAAACAGTGTTTAGGCCAGGGTTTATTCTTGAAGACTGGTATCGCCTTGATCATCCATGCTGTATGACACTAATCTGTAGATTATATTTACAGATCGAACAGGAGCGAATAGACAAAATTTGGCCAAAACTCCGTGTGCTTGCAAGATCCTCCCCAACTGACAAACACACCTTGGTAAAAGGTAATAAGCCCTCTTTACATGGACATTAACAAAAAAATTTTTAGAAAATACTGGGCCAGACAGTTATTCAGTGCTGGATATGAACCTTTATTACGATATCTTGCAGTATGGCATGAATATTGACATAGTACAAAGTTCATGTAACTCGTAACTTTCTGTGGTAAATATGTATTTTGAAGTCTGTACAAATATTTTTGCTTTCATTTCAGGTATAATAGACAGCACTGTTTCAGAACAGAGGCAAGTTGTAGCAGTGACTGGTGATGGTACTAATGATGGCCCTGCCTTGAAAAAAGCAGACGTTGGCTTTGCGATGGTAAAGTGTTCAACCACTGTTATGACTGTTTTCACTAAGTCTTCAGTAAAAATGAACTGTCATCTTGGGTTGTGGTGAACATTTAGATTATACGGAAGACTTAAAAAAAGCTAACATGTATCAGTGGCAAGATCATCAGTAAATTTACCTTCCTCTGTATGTACCCTACTCCATTATCAGATAACTAAAGATCTTAGTCAGATAACCATTTCAGAATTTCATTTTTTTTAATATGGAAGACTAAACAGGATTCAGAGACCTTGTAAGCCGTCCAGAGACCTGCAACGTACTGGACGGGGTAAAAATACCCAAATAAATAAAGTAAGTAAATAAAAAAAATTGCTGATAAGATCCAAGATGTTCAGCATTAGCAATACATCTTGACATTTGGCATGTTCTGTTGCATTTTTTTTTCCTGGGAGAAAACATGGTGAAATATTTTCTGCAGTTTCTTGCAAATTCATTTTAAGTAATATGCAAGAATTTGAAACAATATGGAGAGGGTCCAAGAATCTAAATTATAGAAATACTATTTTATGGAAATACAGTAGATGTTAAAATAGGTGAATCTCATACTTTTAAAAGTAATTAATGGTAGAGTTTTCTGATGAATGTACTAAAGGGATTGTGCGTATTGTGGTGTATATGCAGTGCAGTGGTATAAGAAGTTTGTTGCTGCTGTTTGTGGTAAAGAACGTTCTATGGAACCTGATCATTGTAAACTAAAGTGTGGTGGGTTGTGAGATGTTCCTGTGGTCATGCTAAACTGATACTTCTTTTGAGTACCTAATTCTTAGATCAGGTTGCATCTCCTTATTTTTCCTTGCCACAATGGAATGATGACACTGCAACTAAGTTGAGTGCAGACTGTCTCTGCAGAATTTGGTGTCAGGTAGATCACTTACATGACATTGAACCGTGTATACTTCGTATTTTATTCCCTTATGTGGACTCTATAACATTGATGCTCTTTCTAAAGAGTAGAAATCAGTCTAGTTAACCTGTGACAAACTGGACTTCCCATACCATATTTTAAAGTCACAGCCTTTTATTTAAGTCATCTCAGAAGAGATGGACACACAGAGAGAGCTGTTACTCCATACAGATATCTAAAACATATATTTTACTCCCAACAACTAAACATTGACCGCTTTTCAGCTGGTGTAGATATGCACATTTAACACCAGTAGCTGACCAATTTTCTTGTCAGAATGATATGTAAGGAGCCATATCTTGATTACAAAACATACAGTCCTCCTTCTAGAAACTGCAGAATTCTATCAATGTGAGCAGAATGTTCAGCAACTGTGCTTATGTGCCATCTAGTGCCTTTGAAGATGAACTACTGCTGTCTGAAACTAAAGAAGTTCGATCTCAAGCTATTTTGTGACAGGCTGAAAATATGCAAATATTAATGAAGGCAAAACTATCTTTAAACATGCAATTTCATTATATCTGTCATGGGGATGTAATGCATTGATTATATGCTCTGTCACATGCTTTTTCCCCTTCCTAACAACCCCATGGCACTTATGCCCCAGCCATCTTCTGACTTATTTCGTTGTCAGAAGTTCTGTGGTTTCCATAATGCTGAAGAGTCTATCTGCAGCAATTGTGTCAATAGGTTGTCACACCTCACTATTCCATAACATGACAAAGGCCTTGACCGAATCACTGGCTGTGGCTACTGAAAAATCCCCCAGAGCATTCAGGAATCCCTTGCATTCCATAAATCCCCAGGGTTGGCTATCTTAATCAGTTCTGAGAGTGTTTGAACTTGGTGTTCAAGACAATGTAACCTAATTTGCTGCTTCTTTACACCATTTAGGCTTTTAACATTTATTAAAAATTGGGTTCCTTAGAGGAAGAGAATCTTTGAATTTAAACCAGTGCTTTCAGTTGCTTAAGTGCAGAATATAAAATAGTTTTGTATTTAATCACTTGCCGGAAAACAATAGGTAACAGGGAGTTACAAGCTGGCAAGTGAGCAGGCTGGCAGAGGAAGGATGGAATGTCTTTTTCTGTTTTCTGTCTCTGCCAGTCCTGACCAGGTTTTAACATCTTTTTTCAGGCTAGTAACTTTCTTATGAACTTATCACAAACTTGGTTGTATATATGGAAGTGATAATGTGGTGATACTCACTGCTTCTCATGTATGACTTTGTATTTTGGTTTTTTTTCCTCCCCCTTCCAGGGTATTGCTGGAACTGATGTAGCTAAAGAAGCTTCTGATATCATTCTTACAGATGACAACTTCACAAGTATTGTTAAAGCAGTTATGTGGGGACGAAATGTGTATGACAGCATCTCCAAATTCCTTCAGTTCCAGCTTACTGTCAATGTGGTAGCTGTCATAGTTGCTTTCACAGGAGCATGTATTACACAAGTAGGTATTGTATACTCATTTTCAAGTAATGGGTGGAAAATGTGCTGCTTATAACTTGATATAGTAGTAAAATTTTAGAGCTGTTAGAAGTATGCTAGCACAATACCAAACTTTATAGAAGATGTTTAACAGCTGCATAACTTGTTGGTTTCTAGGAACTTTGTGTTTATATATTAGGAAACATATCATTTTTATAGGATTCTCCACTTAAAGCTGTTCAGATGTTATGGGTAAATCTTATAATGGACACACTGGCTTCACTGGCTTTGGCAACGGAACCCCCTACAGAAGCTCTATTGCTGAGAAAACCTTATGGCCGAAATAAACCTCTCATCTCTCGAACAATGATGAAGAATATTCTGGGACATGCTTTCTATCAGCTTGTGGTTGTTTTTACACTTCTGTTTGCTGGTAAGAATGCTAAGTTTCTGTGTTAGAGCAAATAGTTTTTGAAAATCTCAATTTTGGCTGCTTCTTAAATTGTAGTCTTCCAAAGCAGCTCTTCAGTGTTAAATATTTGTGGGAATGACTTAGAATCTAAATTTACATAAAATACTCAGAGTATTTTATCTATTTCTTTACAGGGGAAAAAATATTTGACATTGATAGTGGAAGAAATGCACCTCTTCACGCTCCCCCATCAGAGCACTATACAATTGTATTCAATACATTTGTGATGATGCAGCTTTTTAATGAAATAAATGCTCGAAAGATTCATGGTGAAAGGAATGTATTTGAAGGAATTTTCAATAATGCAATATTCTGCACTATAGTTCTTGGCACATTTATTGTACAGGTGGGTAGACTATTTAAATGTACATTACATTTGTGAGTTAGACTAGACTGAACTTACAAACCAAATACTCTTTTATTGATAATGACCAGGAGCCAAATCAGCATGCAATGGGCTTAATAATTAGAATGCCTGAGTTACCCATGTTTGTGACCAGGAGAGTTTATTTAATATTTTAATTTGAGGCACAGGTGGGCTTGGTGACTAGTAATGCTTTTTGTCAGCATATATTGATATACCAACTGAAACCTATCTGGACAAAGGTAGTCAACTGGCAGTTATCCACACTGTAACAGCCTTCCAGGTGGATTACTACAGTGCATTGTATGCAGGGCTGTATTTGAAGATGGTTCGGAAAGTTCAGTGAATTCAAAATAGAGATGCTAGGCTATTAACTGGGACCAGTGAATGCAGTGATGTGATGCTGGTACTTCATCGGTTGCATCAGTTTCCAGTATGTTTCCGAGCCCAGTTCGCAATACTGTATTGACCTTTACCATCTTAAATAACTCAGAACCTGAAAAACCAAAGGCATGTATCTTTCCCTTTGCACCTGTGTAAATCCTTAAGTGATCTTCAAATGTCTAGGTTTGCTTTATTGAAGCAATTAGGCTGGAAATTTCAAGAAACGGGGCCTTCTCATTTGTGATTCTCTGCTTATAGATTGTGTTCCCCAGGGAGACTTGTCTGATACCTACACTGTTATCTGTGTAATACTAGAGAAAAAACTTTCTTTTCTGATTAGTTTCTTTTTGATTAGTTTCCTTTTTTGGGGGGAGGGGGTGTCTGTGATTATATTTAGATGTTTTATCCCTGTGTAGTTTGTTGTTTTGTGCCATACCTTATTCTTTAGTTTTTGTAATCTACCCGGAGAAACTTTGTTATGAAAAGGATAACATATAATGAGTAAATAGCATTATTCAATGGAGTCAACAAATTCTGCATGGTTTTTCTTAACAGATTGTTATTGTGCAGTTTGGTGGGAAACCTTTCAGTTGTTCAGAGCTTACAGTAGAACAATGGCTATGGTCAATTTTTCTAGGAATGGGAACACTTCTTTGGGGCCAAGTAAGTAACACTTCCTATGAGATTATTTTCTGAATTTAACACTGTTTGTATTCCAAAAACATGCATTTATGCCCTTTGCAGGAGTGTGACATTTTCCGTGGTAAGCAACTTTGTGCTGTAAATTTTGAAGAATTTTGGAAAAGAAACATTTAATACATCCTCTGATGTTTCCTCTATTTCAGCCAAACATATTTATTTTATTATTAATTATATTTATATACTGCCATTTTCCTTTCAAGAAACTCAAGGTAGCTTATGTAATTCCTCTCACTCTTATCCTCACAACAGCAACTTGTGGGCTGAGAGTTTTTGACACGCCCATTCAGTTAGTTCCATGGGTGAGTGGGGGCTAGAACCCAGATCTCCTGGGTCCCAGTTCCACATTCCTAACCACTACACTGCACAGACCTTCAGTATAAATGTAGGACAATCTTTTATTGCAATACTGACTGCTGTTTGCCTAAGCTGTACAATCTGCCAACCGCCCCTACCCAATCAACTACTGTTCTGCTTTCGTACAAAATAAGATTCAAAGCAAATGTTTTAACCATCTGCATTTAATAGAAATTGCTTGAATGAATTCCTAAATGGAGTTTCTGCATTTAAATAAAGCTCTGAACTTTTTCTGTCTTGCTGTTGTAGTTGATATCAACAATCCCCACCAGCCATTTGAAATTCCTTAAGGAAGCTGGCCATGGAACACAGAAGGAAGAGATTCCAGAAGAAGAGCTAGCAGAAGATGCAGAGGAGATAGATCATGCTGAAAGAGAACTACGGCGTGGTCAGATCTTGTGGTTTAGGGGCCTAAACAGAATACAAACTCAGGTATGGTCTTGGAAAAGGTAGGAGGTTGTGAAGGTTGAGGGAACTGTAAATCTTTCCATTGCTCTTGGTATTGGTTGGGTGGTAGCCAAAAACTGTATGACTGAATTCTTCTTAACATGGGGAAATGGATGGCTCTTTATTCCTTCAAATTCTTTCTTTACTTCATCTCTGAATACATCTCTTGCCTCTCTTGCCTCTTTAACTGCTCTATAAAAGTGCCTTTTTCTTTACTTTTTATGTGTTATAGATGGGATGCTCCTTTCTCTTGTTCTCTCTCTCTCTTGCTGAGCAAGCTGTCACAATCTCTGATTCCTTGCAGATGGATGTAGTGAATGCTTTCCAGAGTGGAACTTCCATTCAGGGGGCTCTAAGGCGGCAACCTTCCATCGCCAGCCAGCATCATGATGTAACAAATATTTCTACCCCTACACATGTAGTGTTTTCCTCCTCTTCTTCTACTACTACTACTACTGCTTCTACTACTGTGGGGTGTGAGTGTGTGTTCCTAAGTGCATGAAAATAGCATTTCCTAATCCACACACCTAACGTTTCATTTTCTCCTTCAGTCCTTAAATTCATCATTAAGACTTTTCATATTTTTCTCACCAAATGGAGTCCTCAAAATCCTTTTTTCTCAGAGGGCTACAACATAGGTGGAACAGTTGCAACAGTTATTTATAATCAAAGATGTGAAATAGCACATATTGTGCCTTCATACTTGTACAAAAGGGATGTGGAAAAAAATCTTCTGAAATAACTGTTTCAAATATTTGAGTATATGCCTTCAGGTATAACTGTTTGCAAGAAGATATAATTATAATTCAATGAAATGCTTAAAACTGATCCCTCTTCAGTAGATTTAGACACTTGTTAATGGGAAATAGCAAGCATTATTATTTGAATAACTTCAATTTACACATAGAACTTAAAAATTCATCAGTTGGGCCTATTACTAAGCTTGTTAAATGCACAGGATTTCCTGTAAAGTTTTGGAGCTAAGGTACATTTTGAGAGTTGAACAAACTACTTAGAATTGTTCAGTTCTAGGTAATAAATCTGTATTTTATTCTTTTAGATGGCTTTCTTTCTAGGTTCTTTTTGAAACATTAGCTTTTCGCTTACCAAAAATCAAGCATTCAAATAAGCAGAAAAAGTGTTCTATTCTACAAAAATAAATAGTTCCAGCCTGCTTTGTACCCCCAGGGAAATCTGCTGAACAATGTGCAAGATTTAAACATGTCTCTGTACTCTGCAAATGTATTTATATAGCATAACTATTACTATACAGTTACTTGTCAAGGCCTAAGAATTTGATGAAAGGGAGGCTCAGAGTTTCAAAAAATGCATAACTATAAGATATCTTAATGATAACATACCTCAGGAATAAATAAACTCACCATGACCAAATTGGTAATGTTTGTTCTCCTCCTGTACTATACTGGATTGGTGAGGAGAAACCAAATCAATGTATGTGCAAATTCTGTTTGTAAAAAACTGCGTTTGAGGATAGCATTGCAAGGTTAAGGGGATCGTTAAGGTAAATGGAGCCACTGTATTTAACCTCATGATTACCTGGCATCTTTCTCCAAAAGAACTGTATCTGTTTATACCGTGTCTCTATTATCTGGGGGTGGGGGGGGGTAATCTATGGAAGTTGTCTTCCTAAGGATGTACCAGTGATGCTCCTACATTTTGGTGTGTAATTACCAATATGTTTCATTGCAATTTTGAGATTTCTTGTAGTTTATGCAAGCTACAGTTCTGCTATGTGTGTTAAAAATACTTGGAATTTGAAAATGTTGCTAAATAGGAAAAACGCCTGATTATTTTGGCACTATGGCCCAAATAATGTTTTGTGAAAATATTTGAGGAGCTTGAGTTTCATAAAATGAGATATCAAAAACTACACTGATACACAGAACCATCAGACATGCTATATGTTTTTTTTAACTAATTGGAAGTTATGTCCCTATCAGAATGTGTAACCAATAATATAACGCAGTAGACTTCCGACATTTTGAATCCCAGTAGTAGAGTTTTGTTTGCTTGATTTTTATTCTGCCAAACAAACCAAATCTATCAAAAAAGTGCCTAGTAAGTATTTCAAATATAGGTGATCCTGAGTTGTATCCTCATTTATATTACAATGCTAAACAGTGTATAAATAGGCAACCTTTTCTGTGTTGCTTGCTGTGAATAGTCTGCAAAAGTCTCCTTTCCATGCATAAGATGCTGTATCTTTCCTAGTAGAACAGTCTTTAAGTCAACCAAGTAGACTGCTGGCCTGTGCATATTACATATTCCTACAGGAATACTAACGCAAATACCAGAATTAAAAACACAAACACATATGTGTATGTACACACCCATTCCACACTGGTGTTCAGTTATTAAATAGTACCTCATTCCAATACAAATATTTTGAAATGGTCCACAGTTTGCTTCTACCCCGTAATCAAGCACATTGGCGCAATGTATATAAAAAAAATGTACTAAATAGCAGATCAAGGGTGGATTTTTTTTCCTTGTAGCAAAGTGCATCTTCTGGAAATAGAAAATAATTAGTAACATCAGAGGAGGAACTTGTTTGAGATCGCGGTCTGGACAGGCATATCACAAGATTATGAAAACTATAATTGTGGAACAGGGAATTTACTCAGGTCTGTTCCCTGGAACAAACTGATCCTTTGCTTAATGTATGTAAGCACCGTAGTGCTCAAGTTGGCAGACAGATCTTGACCTGGTACTTAGTTGACTAAAGAGGTGATACAAAGCACTACAGTTATTTGGGAGAGATTCTGGATAACAAATATGTCTCGATTTCCAGTATGATCTGGATTGATCACACTTGCCATTGTCACTTGATTGATCTAGCATGCTATTGGGATGGATTCCTGAAGGCCCTGGGGGAGTTTCTGGCTGACAAGACTGGTGCTCCTGTCGAGGCTCTGGTCAAGCTATGGAATGGGGAAATGACCAGGGCTATTGACATGATTGCTCCTAAGCGTCCTCTCCCACCGGGCAGAGCCCACTCTTCCCCTTGGTATACACCTGAATTACGGGCGATGAAGCGGGTTGGGAGATGTCTAGAGCGTAGGTGGAGGAAATCACGGGATGAATCTGACCGAACACACTTAAGCGCCCATTATCGGGCCTATGCTGTGGCGGTGAGGGCAGCGAAAAAGAAATTCTTCACCGTTTCCATTGCCTCCTCACAATGCCATCTGGCGGAGCTTTTTCGGGTGGTACAAGGGCTGGTGGTACAAGGGCTGGTCCTAAGAAAGATCCAGTACCACCCTCGAAGGCCTGCTGTGACGACTTTGCCAAGCATTTTAGGGAGAAAATCGCTCAGATTCGTCATGAGCTGGACTCCACTAGTGACTCAGAGGCTTCTGGGGAGATACCAATGTTGCCATCTGGTGCAAAATTGATGGATGAGTTTCAGTTACTGCAGCCTGATGATGTGGACAAGGTGCTTGGACGAGTACGTCCCATCACTTGCCTGTGGGACCCTTGCCCATCTTGGCTAATTAACAACGCCAAGCACGGGACAGGGACCTGGATCTTAACCTGGTTAACGCCTCTCTGAGGGATGGCCGGATACCTGCCCCTTTAAAGGAGGCAGTAGTCCGACCGGTCCTGAACAAGGCGTCACTGGATCAGAGATGGCTACTAATTATAGACCAGTGGCCAACATCCCGTTTTTGGGCAAGATGTTGGAGCGGGTGGTGGCAGGACAACTCCAAGCACTCTTGGATGAAGCTGATTATCTGGACCCATTTCAGTCCAGCTTCAAACCCGGGTACGGTACTGAATCTGCTTTGGTCACCCTGTACGATGACCTGTGCAGGGAGAAAGATAGGGGGAGTGCGTCCCTGTTGGTTCTCCTGGACCTCTCAGCGGCTTTCGATACCATCGACCATGGTATCCTTCTGGATAGGCTTGCGGGATTGGGAGTTGGAGGCACTGCTTTGCAGTGATTCCGCTCCTATCTCAATGGCCGATTCCAGAAGGTGACGCTGGGGAACTATGGCTCTGCGCCATGGCAACTATGCCATGGAGTACCGCAGGGATCCATTTTGTCCCCCTTGCTATTTAACATCTACATGAAACCGCTGGGAGAGGTCATTAGGAGGTGTGGCCTGCAGAATCATCAGTACACTGATGATACCCAGCTCTACCTCTCATTTTCTACCAATCCAGGTGAGGCAGTGGCTGTACTGAACCGGTGCCTGGCCGAGGTAATGGGCTGGATAAGGGCCAACAAACTGACGCTCAATCCAGACAAAATGGAGGTCCTGTTGGTTGGCAGTTTGGGCTTCGGGGAAGGGGACCTTGACCTATTCCTGAATGGGGTTGCTCTCCCTCTTAGGGACAAGGTCCGCAGCTTGGGAGTGCTCCTCGACCCAGAGCTTTCACTGGAAGCTCAGGTGACAGCGGTGGCGAGGAGCGCTTTCCTTCAGCTTCGGCTGGTCCATCAGCTATGTCCCTACCTGGAGAATGACTGCCTTGTGACACTGACTCACACGTTGGTGACTTCCCGACTTGACTTCTGTAACACGCTCTACATGGGGCTGCCCTTGAAGATGGTCCGGATACTTCAGTTGGTTCAAAATAGAGCTGCCAGGCTGCTGACGGGGACTGGGCATTATGTTTACATGACTCCAGTTCTCTGACAGCTTCACTGGCTCCCCATTGAAGTCCGGGCCCAATTCAAGGTGTTGGTTATGACCTATAAAGCCCTTAACGGCTTGGGACCTGGTTATCTAAAGGAGCGCTTGCGTCCATATATGCCCTCCCGCCCCCTGAGATCGGCGGAGGAGGCCCTTCTCCGGGAGCCCTTCGTGAAGGATATTAGGAGGGTGAGCACGCGGAGGAGGGACTTCTCTGGCGTCCCACCTATGGAATGCGCTCCCCAGAGAGGTCTGCCTGGCGCCGTCGTTATTTGTTTTTTGGCGCCAGGCGAAGACCTTTTTATTTAAACATTTTAATTGCTAATATTATTTATTTATTTTACATCCCTGGCCAGGACATCTCCAGTTATATTATACTGTTTTTATATTGTTATTATTTATTTATTGTTGTGAGCCGCCCTGAGGCTTCGGCGAATGGGGTGGCATAGAAGCTTTCTAAATAAAATAAAGCAAGTTTGGGTCTTCTTGTAAATGTCAAACTAAAATTATCACATATGCAAGTGGAAATAACCATTTTGTAAAAGTACACCCTTATATTATAAGGAATATTAATTTCTCTGCTTAAATATATTGAATAGTGATGATCAGGCAATATCCTTCCTCTAGTACAGTTCTTTAGGAGACATAATAAAAATGAAACATTTAAGGAAAACAGGTGAAAATACATAATGGACCACTGGGAACAGGATCAGGATTTTATTTTGCTGGCAAGTTGTAACCTGAAATGTCACAAGGGAGCTATAATGTATAACATTAATTTCATAATATTGCAATATGTTGACAGTATTAACTTCATTTGACATACTGAGATGGACAAATTCTCAATTCTCGTTTTAATCTAGATTACTATCCTATTGGCTATAAGAAAACAAATAGGATTCAAATCTCTTGAAGGTTTTATATTGCATTTTTAGTGAGTGTTCAGAAAATAGCTACTTAAGAAAAGATACAAGTATTTTAAAAAACCCTGTAAGATGCAGATACTTGTTTTCCTGCATAAATATCTATTTTAGAGGATATTAAGGCCATAATCTACATTTACCAAGTCACAATCTACATTTAAAATGTCTGCATAAATCATGAATCAACTGTTGCATATGTTTTTGTCTTCATTTGAGTGTGAGTGCATACATGCATGCATAAAATGTGGCTGAAATGGTTCTTTTCTTAATGTGCAGGAGAATAAATAATTGCATCTTCCAGGTAATATTTTATCTTGTATCTCTTCTATAACCAGCAAATCCGGATACCGATTACAATGACAGTATTCTGTGTGGTATATACTCAAATATTTACCTTCATAGAACTGTTTTTTTGCATGATACTAAAATGTCCAGTAATTTTAACACTGCTTATACTTGCTTGGGTATTCATAGATGGATATATAGCTTCCTGCATTGGAAGCAAGTAATTTGCTATTACTTCTAAAATTCTTGCCATCTTTAGTTTTCCAAAGTTCTAAGATATTATCCAGTTCAATAAATTGGATTTTTTTCAGATTGGCTTAATTAACCTTTAACTAGTTGAACTGTGTTATTTTATATAAGAGTAACATATATTCAATTTTGTAGGGCTTGGCATTTTGGCAGTGCACGCAGCACTATTATTCCTATTGTAGCCTGGCAGCACTCTACTGAAATGCTCTTATTTTTTTTACAGTTTATTGCAAGTTTCACTGCATCACATACAAATTCAGTTCACTCATGTCTAGCTGTTTGTGGATTCAAATTCATAAAACCGTTTTCCCCTTAATACATTTCTGCTGTGGATTAACATTTATGAAATTATGCTTGCAGATCCGAGTGGTGAATGCGTTTCGTAGTTCCTTATATGAAGGATTGGAAAAACCTGAGACACGAAGTTCAATTCACAGTTTTATGACACATCCAGAGTTTAGAATAGAAGATTCTGAGACTCATATTCCCCTTATTGATGATACTGATGCTGAAGATGATGCTCCAACAAAACGCAACTCAACTCCTCTACCACCCTCTCCCAACAAAAATAATAATGCAGTTGACAGTGGAATTCATCTTACAACAGACTTGAAGAAGTCTGCTACCTCTTCATCCCCAGGGAGCCCACTACATAGTTTGGAAACATCCCTCTGATTGTAAGCCGAATGTTAACACATTAGCTGCATCGTAAAGAAACAAATTGAAACTGGGTCTCCTCACTCATTGTGATGGACAAGATGGTATTCTTGTCTTGGACTTCAACAAGAAGATACACTTGTACGAATGTAGATTTATTTTTTTAAAAAAAAGCTTTCTGCCAGACTTGAGGGTGCTTTTTTTGGGGAGGGGGGGAGAGAAATAATGAACTCTGACAGATAAACAGTAACTTGGCTAAAGTGACCTGTGGATCATCAGCTGTACTTAAGAAAGGCCCTTAAGAATGTCTTAGCAGAGCTTTAGTTTCTCATTCCTTTTGAGGAGAGAGCTGGAATGTGCAAGATTGCACTGGATCACTGAATTGATAACTTTCATTTCTGCTGTTGGCTGTTAATAATTTGGATTATTTATGTTTATAAATGACACAGATCTGTTTACAAGGTTTGTAGATACTTTTTTGTTCCTGTTCATATATGGGAAGCTTCCTTATAAATGATGCAGAAAAAAAACTAGTCCATCAAATACTGCTGTATTTTCAGGAAAGGGTGTTTCTATTGAAACTGTACTAAATTTTTGCCTGCAATTTACCTTGTTAAATATTGTAGATAAAATTGCTACTACTAATAGCCAAATAGGTAACACTAATGCTTTGTAAAAACCATGAGCAGTGGTGTTCTAATGAAGTTATGGCCTCTGTCCTAATTAGTTTCTTAAACATTTACTACTTAATGGTTTTGAAACAACTGTAAAATTTTTAAAAATTGAGAAACTTACTGAGTAACTTCTGTTCAGAATTTAGTAGAGGATTGTTTAATGCAGGACAATGTGATGGAACTTGCTTGAAATACTTTTGTTATCTCAGGCAAAATGGATTAAATCAAAATACATCAGAACTTTAGTCCTTCCTGTTTTTGTTTAAACCAAGTAGCTTATTGCTGTCCTGGTGAACTGTGAGTAGAGCTGTTTATTTTTCTGATCCTGAGTATCCTTACAGCATGAGGGCTGCTGGCATTTGGAAAGTTCTGAACAGGTAGCATACATGTTTTCTTCTCCTTTTAAAATTCATTTATATAAAAATAAATCAACCCTTTTGTTAAAATAAACATGCAGCAACATGTGTTACAGGATTCAGCACCTTAACAAAGAATAGATGTAAGCTTAATTTAGAAAGGAAATTAACGAGGTTTTTAAATAAAAATGGTCCATCTCATTGGTGAAACAGATGAGACTTGCAAACAGTTCAGGCAGGAAACTTTATCAAAGCTAAAGGAGTTGATATTGGTAGCGAAATGTGTTTTTTTATAAGATTACCCTTGACTAGTTACAAAAAAGCCAATAGTCAGAAATGTAGTTAGGTGACAAATAATGATTACTGTTTAAGTAATCTGGGGGCCAAAAACAGTCCAGATAGCAAAAAGCTGAATAACATGTGCTTGAGTTTTTGAAAACTGGAGACTTTTCTAAAGGAAACTTTTTGTTACAGTCCATTCTTCCTTTTAGTGTTTTTCTGCCTCTGCCATTTTCTCCTCTAAAAAGATCTCAAATACTTTTTTCCTTTTGCTGGCAGAGCCAAACAAAGGAAAAAGAATAAGCACTCCGATAGGGAGTTTGATGAAAGCACTGCCAAGTGGAAAAGAGAAACTGCATCCTTCAGTAGCTTCTTTGTGTTCTGACTCATAGCTGAAAGAACTAGGCTTCATCCTGGTGTTAGAAGAGGATTATAAGAACCATACTCTAAGGGAACATAGCATGTATAATCTTAGGAGGGTGGGCATTGACCTGTCCAGGCAAATAATCCTGGGAAAGTCGGGTTAGCAAGGGAGAAGAAAAAGAATCCACCATAAATGTTCTGTGCAGAGTTAAACATAGAAGGAGATGGCCACACCTGTGAGTGTTGGTTTGTTGTCTGGAGAGGTAGTGCCTGAGTCAAACATACATAACCACACCTCCAAGTGAAATATTTAGGACAATGATGTTGAAATAATTCTCTTTTCCATGGACAGTACAGATCCATCCTGCATTGTATCCCACCGTTAACCACTCACTGAAGCATCACTAATTGTTTCTGTTTAGTTCAATCTGGAAAATTCACTTTATAGTACCACAATACTTGTATTTCATGTGGCAGTTATTCCTATGGTTCCATTTTGTAACTGGAGAACCACCACATTTTGGAACTAGATAATACTATAAAGCAGGAAAAAGTGTGCCCAACACATAAGGGGGAATGGAGTTTACCTGCTGAAACTATCTCAGCTACATGAGACTGAGTGTAATAGTGAATGTTACCTTTATACCTTGCCATTTGAACAGAAATCTTTTTTTTCCTTCTGTCTTAATGGTAGTCATGACTACACTCTGCTGCCCAAAACCTACTGTGAATTCTATATTTCAGATCTCTGGAAGAAATTTAACTGTAGACTTTGTGCAGAAATCATCCTTTTTTGACCCTGTTGACAGCAGTACATTGAGTCTTAATAGCAAGTGTAAGTGTAATTGAAATCAGGAATACTTGTTCAATAACTTTACTGTGAAAGCAAAATACCATGACATCATGTTAGCTATCAAAACAATCATTACCGCTTTTCAGTTGCTGAGCCACATATTTGCATTTTCTGGTTGTAAGGCTTACTTAGCTTGCTCAATGTAACTTAAATAAATAAATGTGCTGTTTATCTGTCTCTGGATGGGGACTGGAATTTTTGAAAGCATTTTACTTGAAATATATAACTTTATTCTAAATAAGCAGCCTGTCCTACATCTATTTCTTAACTGGTGTGTGTGATTTGTACTAATTTGCCATTGTTTGTACTGAACTGCCATTTTTAGAGATTTTACTCTAAACGTATAAAAAGTTGACATAATATTGGTGCCAACTTAATAGATGCTAGGCAGATCTCAATAGGAAGCTTAGCATAAAGCCTCACATGAGGCTATAACCCCTCCTAAATTGCATTCTGTCTTCAACTTCCACCCTGGTCCTAATTGATTTATTTAGCCAAAATGCAATTACTGGATCCTTGTTTGCTATTGTTGATGTTCCTGTTAATATTTTCCTCTTAGTCTTATCTTTCAAAATGTCCATGCCTCTATTGTTAGTTCTTATTAATTTGATTTGTACCCTGCCATTCTGTCAAGAAAAATGGCACTCTTGGTGAGTTTTAATATATTATCTGTTCCAAGTATATACTAGATATGGGATAAACTAAACATAACTGGAGTTGGAGCTAACTTGTTCTTTCGTGGTCCCCTTCAGTTTTCCAATGATGTTCCTAGTTCCTTGTCAGTATCATATTGATGAAATTTCATTTCAGTTAGCAAGCTGCTATACACAAGATTTGGAAATATTTCCTCCTCCTCCCTTTGATAATGATACAGTATAGCAATAAAATACCAAGGAGAGAATCTGCCTAATTTCAATCAGGAGCAGAGTTACTGAACAGTCCTTATGCATTATCATTCTGGAAGGTGCTATAGTTATAGGTCTTCAGCAGTCTTCTATTTTGACTTTTTAATTCTATTACTAGCTTAGCCTTGAAGGTATAAATACTACAGGCAGCTTGCCTGTCATGCTGCACGTAGGTATATACAGTTTAGCTTCGTGTGAAATATTCCTGTTGGAAAGGGGCAGACTTGAAAGTAATGTCATGAAGAAAAGCAGAGTCACACTTTTAGCCCCACCCCAATAACCACACATTTAGTATGGATGTTTGCAAGGAGCCTCCATATACAACTAGCTGACTGTGTATAGAAGGTTCACACGAATAGTATACCTGATTTGTGGGTGTCCCAGTTCTCCAGAACTCCTTCAAGCAAGCAGCTGCTTGTGCATTGAGGCTTCTTCACAAGCAACTGTGCTCAGTGTTGAGACATCAAAGGATGTGTGCATGCATGAAATCATAAACAGTTCTAGAAGTGTGTTTGTTTTGCTTTCAGCCTGGTAGAGCCTTTCATGCAAATAACTTATAAATGAGGTTCATATGACTAACTGCATAATAACTACAAACATCAGTTTAGGACAGTGGATCTAGCACACTGTTTAAGAAACTTTCACAATGGTATAAAACTTTAGGCACTACCAGTAAAAACATTCTGAATCTTTACAATATATACAATATATTTTATTCAAAACAACTTGGTTGTGTGTTCCAGGTGACTGTCTGCTTTTGGCACTGGCATAGTTTATTTCCTCTAATTTGCTGAGAACTGTTTGGCAGGGTTTGCATGAAATGACAACCCATAATGGTTGATGAGCCGCCCTGGATTGGGTTGTACAAACCTAGACCAAATTCTTTCAGGTGGCTTTTTTGAAGGGAAGAAGCCATCCTAACAATGTAGGAGTTGATCTAGCTACAATGGGTTATCTCATCATCTAAACCCAAGTACTAGGAATCAGTTAGCAAGCTGCTTGGCAAGGGTGAAGAAAAGCTTGTACAGCTTGCCCAGGCACCTGCCAGTGCCAGCCACACAGGAACTGCCCAACCAGCCCATGAGTGGCTGGCAGTCACTTGCTGCCGACCCCACATTTTGGTTCTGGCTTTTCTTATCTCTGTTTTGACAGCTGGTAACAGCTCCTGAAAAATAGCTAAATAGTTCTTGCAGGGGGTGCTGACAATTGCAAACCTATTTTGTTTTTACAGCAGGACCCAGTATCCATGGGGCATAGGTTCCAAGCCCCCCAGCAGATGCCTAAAACCACACATTGTAGTGAACACTGTCTACTGTACAGTCAGCCCTCCACATGTGCAGGGGTTAGGGGTGCTGGATCCCTGTGAAAGTGGAAAAACTACACATAGGTTCAGCGAAAAGCACAAATAACTCTAGAGACTCTATTTGGGGATGCCACATTCTTGGTCTCAATACTAGCCAGTCTTGTACTTTGTCTCTCAGTGGGTGCAAAGACTGTGGAGATACATAAGGTTTTTTCTCAAAATATTTGTGGGTTTTTCCTAGAGATATGTTTATTTCCACTTTTTCAGGGGTCCTGCACCCCAAACCCTCACAAATGCAGAGGGCCGTGATCAACTGTAGTTAAATGTAACTGTGGTAACTGAGACAGCAGATATGAAGGTCCTATTGTATCTTGGACCTTTGGAGTGCACCAATATTTTGCACACTGTAATTATTTAAAGTGTTATCAGTGTGTTTCTTTAAACCTATGATTTCAGAAGACCAAGGGAGATAAAAGACCAGAATGAGTGAGTGAGGTTATTGGTTGGTGACTGAGAGTGTGTGGATGGAGCTTGGAAGTGTGTGAGGAGAAATAAACATATATTGATATCTGTCAGCAGTTAACAGTTGCGGTCAGTCAGCGGTCTGCAGAATCTGCTGAGGTAGCCTTCTCCTTAGAATCCTAGATAGTGCTGGGAAAGGCATTTAAGATTAGAAAGGGAAGAGACTTGGAGGACAAAATTGCATAGTGAGAATCAAAACCTAATATTGTCAAGTATTATGAGAGTGAGAGAGAGAGAGAAGCTGGCAGAGAGCTGAGTGCAGAAGGCAAAGATTAAACAGGTAAGGACTGGTCAAAGTATATCCAGCAAGGAAAGGAGGATCTGTGAGTGAGGAGTGTTTGTGAATGGAAAGAATGAGACACTTCAGAAGTTATTATATATGGTTTTATTCACTAAGGAAATGTTACTTAACATCTTGAAACCAATATGCTTATACAAATAAAGGTAGGTTGTTTATTGTTAACTCAGAGTCATAGGCTGTTTGTCTGTGGGACGACATAGTCCAATGAAGGGGCCTTATACCTTGGGCACAATATAGTGGGAGGAGTAACTAAGATTGGAATAAGATTCCTGGTGGAAATGCTACATACAGAGAGAAAGAGAGGATGCTTGAAGAAAATTAGACACTCCATACCCAAATGTATTATAGGAGAATACTTGTGACAGACACTTCGGGGTCTCATGTGAATGAGCATCTGCATGCTTTACAGATGTCTGAAAAGGGGCATCCCCAGACAATGTCTTGGGAGGCACCTGCTGCCAAAGTGCACTAGGTGCAAACCTTCGACTTTGATCAAGAGAGGCTTCCAGTAGCCTTTAGTTTGGTTTGACACCAGTCAAAAGATGAGCTGTCAAGCTAAACAAAGGTATGAGTGATTTATGCTTCCCTTCATGGCAAGGTCCTCATCTTTTTGATGGAGGCACTCCACTGTCTGGATGGTGTAGTTAACCCATCATTTTTTCACATGGATACATGCATTCCTACATGAAGAAATTTGGGAGAAGGCTTCTAAAGTGGTGCAGAAGCTGTTAGGTTTTGTAAAGTATCTATCCTTGTAGGCTGGCAGTATTGGGAGTTATGGTTCACAGCTGTAGGGTACCAGCTTGAAGGAAGCTTCTTTATACTGATAGCAAAATCATTCCCAGCTATAGATCATGTGCAGCTATAGACAGACCTTATCTCTAATGTCAGAAAGCAGCCAGATGACCAGCCAGTTCACAAAAGATGGTGGGGGCTACAGGTCCAGTGACCACAACCAAGTGGCCTGCTAGGAACCATTGAAACTAGTGCAGGTTGCTGGGTATTCTAAATCTTACAGATACTCTATAGTTGAAGCAGTTGTCCATGCATGTCTATGGGTATAGATGCTTTCTATTTTATATTAAAAATGCAGTATGTATTAATACTATATATCCCTAAATTTCTAGGGATAGTTTTTTGAGAGGATCAGCCTCACAAGCTTCAGAAGAATATGTATAAAATGAAAATGACAGCCTAAAGAAGGTCCCAAGTAAGAAACCAGCATTTCAGAAAAAGAAGTGTAGTGGTTTATGAGGAAGGAGAACCCTCAGTGATGAGTGGGTATGAGCAATTCATTTTCCTCCTGCATTTTGTTTAACTTGTATGAAATGGCACAGATTGCAGAGATATCTCTAAACAAGAAGCCTGCAAAAATTTAGAAGGATAGGTGTGGGGGCTAGAGAGGTAAAATGGCTGAAAGTCACTTTGTAGCCGTGGGTGGTGTTCAGAAAAGATTTTTCACAGCAGAAATGGTCTGAGAAAAGGTCGGATTATTGGTCCATGAGGTTAAGAAAAGAAAGGGTTTGAAATAATGAACACAGAACTTGAAGCATCTCCAACCCAACACAGAATATTTGACTTCTTACTTGTTTTCCAGGACAGCTTTGCAACAAAGAAAGGGAAGCTTAAATTTTATATATTTAAGTAAACTCTTGATTCTCTTTTCAAATCACAGTGACTGGAAAGTCCCTATTAGAAAGTGTTCTAGGATCAGAAGGTATTTCAATCAGTAAACCATACTCACTCCCCACACAAACCACTGTTTACAGAGAAAACAAAAAGATGCTATTTTTGGAGATGCTTATTTCTGAAACATAAACTGTACACAAAACTGTGAAGAGTTCTGCACAAAGATTTTTGTCACTTTGGGAGAAGACTGCCTGACCTTGGGAAGCACCTTGAAGGAGCCCAAATGAGCTCAGCCTTTGGTCAAATCCACTGCACATCCCCACTATTTACCATCAGGGTAGCAAGAGCCAATACTGTTGTGCTGCTCCAGCCTTGATGATGCTAGAATTTAGGTGAGTTTAACCTGTATGTGCTAAAGATTTGGCAGACTATGTTTTAGGTGTGTTAGCTCTAATATTTTAGGAATGTAGAATCCCTTGCAGAACATGGAATTGCAGTGAGAGGAGGGGAGAAGAGCCTAT